GTTAATGAAGGTTTGAAGTTTGTTTGAGATGCTCTTTATGACTCGCCAAGTCTCTGATCCGTATAGTAGCACTGACTTCACATTGGAGTTGAAAATCCGGATCTTATTTTTGATGCTGATTGCTGTTGACCTCCACACAGATTTGAGAGTAATGAAAGCTTGTCTTGCTTTTCCGATTCTGGCTTTGATGTCCTCGTCAGTTCCGCCTGTAGTTGAGACGATGCTTCCCAGGTAGGTGAAGGAGGTTGTTTCTTTCAGGTTCTTCCCATTTATGCTTATTGTGGTCTGTTGGTGTTGTTGATGTTGGCTAGGAATCTTCATTATCTCTGTTTTATCTATGTTCACGTGAAGTCCTATCTTTGATGCTTCTTCTGCCAACTCCATTATAGATAAGTTTTTATTTTGATAAATCACACACAGTGTTGTTGTACAGTAATATTTACTGATGACCACGTTTCGAGCATAATTCATTACTGCTCATAATCATATCAAGGCACTACTCACACAACTTTTAACTTCATTTATAAACATCAGTGAAATTAATTAGGCATTTGAATAAAAATCAATATAAAATACATTCAGATATGATATTAGTGCTATTAATCAAATACAATTAGATGGGAAATAAGACGATTGTTTTTATAGTCAAAATAAGTAACTTGTTAGAATGTTATAATGTGAATTGAATACATTTTAACATTATTTATCATCCTCCCATTTGAATGGTATTATTATCTTCAATATCTTTGATATTTGCATTGAGTCCTTTCTGCTGCATGTATTGGGTGTAGACTCGATGAACAAGTATTCAGTAATCAACCTCCCTCTCCACCTACCTATATTATTTCTTAGAATTTTAACCCTCTCCCACCCTATCTTGTGTGGTTGTGCATTGTTAATACATGCAGTGCGAATGCTCAGATTTTTTCGAAATTAATTATCTTAGCGGGGTCAATCATTCTCACCTCAGCTAAGTTCTTATGTTCTGGCAGTCTGACTACACCCGACCTACTAGTTTGACCTATGTTGTTGACTTAACTCCCAGTCATTGCAAGGTATTTTGTAAATTATATTATTTTGTCTAATTGGGTCAACCGACAGGGTCCTTTACCCTACACAGCTTGTCTCTGAGTGAGTGAGTTTGTAGGTTTGAATGTCACCCTAATTCCTACTTTATTGAGAATCCTACGCAGGGTGGGTCTTAGATGTCCCCTCCTTATATGGTATAACTGTAGATGTCTTGTATTCTTTCTTATTTATGTTATCATTAATGGTTTCCCCATTGTTTTTACTTTTATTTTGACATTTTTCGATCTTCCTAGTGAATTTTATAAGACAGTTATTCAACACCAGCGCGTCTTCTTTCTGTTTCATTTCATCGTTTGGGTTTTTAGTTGCACCACTTAGTGCTATTGATCGGTTTGTTAGACACTTAACCAAGCCAGCCTTTACAGACAGCGGATGAGATGAATTAAAGTCTGAATATCTATTAATGCATATAATCACTTAGCATAGGTTGACAATCCTCAGAAATTTCTGTCTTTAGAAGAAATTCAGGCTTTCTTGTTTGTGATATACCTAAAGGATAAGATCTGAATTAAGAAGACAAATGTGTCACTTGTAATGGAAACAAAGTACATAGTTCAGCGAAGAGTTTCTTTTCAGCGGTGAATTCATTTTATTAGCTGTACAATCGCAAATATATATGAGTTATTTTACATGTATTTTTACTTTTGATTACAGCTTGATTCCACACCGTATTTTTGGTACATGTGTGGAATTTTCAGCCTGGATATCGTTAGCCCAAAATTCGCAGGCCGACCATAGATATCAGGTATGCGTCGGCGTGGGCTCGAACCCCGGACCGTGTGCATGGTCGGCGAGAATCCTAACCACTGTGCCACCGACGCACATTAAGTTTGTTAAACAAAAATACAATTGGTTATGGTTATTTTAACTAAACAGGTGAAAATTAGTATGTTTTGGGTGGAGTTAGATAATGCAAAAATTGTCAAGAAAATTGGGTGTTACTCAAAGTAGTGTAGTAATAAAGGCGATGAGCTGTCACAAACACTTGTTGAAAAGGAGTAACGTACATCCAAGTATATCGTTTGGTCTACGCGCATTTTGTCCAAGAGGATTCAAGAACACTGTCCAGCATGGTTGCAAAAAAGGTAATAGTGGTGCTATAAAGAGTGCGATGATTGAACGCCTGGTTAACACTGATCAATCCATCTCAACAAACCACCCCCCTTCAAAGTAACTTACAGAGTCAAGAATAACCTACCAAAGGCAATACGGTTGCGTCTTCTTTGTATCGCTGAAGCTCTGGCCGTTCACATAGAAAAACCTGAGCTGTGTATACAAAAGAGAATTACTCAACCACTTCTACTATCATGGTAACAACTTTGTTGATTTTTGATGACTTAATTTTCTTTGTTTGACTGTTTTTTTTAATCACTTATAGTTCTTGTATTCTTCTTTGTTCCTATGTGTATCCTGAGTAAAGCTCAATCATCAAACTGTTCATTATTATTATGTAGCTCTTTTTTACCAAGTGTTTGTGACAGCTCATCGCCTTTGTTACTACACTACTTTGACTAACACCCAATTTTCTTGACAATTTTTGTATTATCTAACTCCACCCAAAACATACTAATTTTCACCTGTTTAGTTAAAATAACCATAACCAATTGTATTTTTGCTTAACAAATTTGATTTTATTGCAGAGGTTTACTGAATTACACCTTCAGTAAGTGAATTTCCACATCACCGACCAGAAGATCTTCTTTGGGAAAACTGATTTATTTATCTTTTGTATCAGTTACAGTATATGGATTGACTTATTTGTTATTTAACTGCGATGGTGGCACAGTGGTTAGGACCCTCGCCGATCATGCACATGGTCCGGGGTTCAATCCCCAGCCGACGCACACATGATATCTATGGTCGGCCTGCAAAATTTGGGCTACCGATATCATATGCTGAAAATTCCATAGCTGTAACAAAAAATACAGTTTGGGATCAAGCTGTAATGAAAAAAAGAATTACATGATCATTTAGTCACATTACTACAGACTGCTAGCTGAAATTTCAGCTGATTGTTAAATAACCTGATGACTGCTCAGGATGAGCTTAAAAGGCAATTCAAGTCATTCTGTCTGTCTGGATTCAACATAGAACTTGGCACCGAAGTGCAGCAATTCGAGTTGTCACGTTCCAAATAGCACACACAAAGGTAGACAAGAAGATGAGTGAAGAGAATCAATTCAAGTCATTGTTTCCGTATGACTCAAAGACTTGGTGAACGCGTCAGGAAAAACATTCTCAACAGTCTGCTGCAGATTTCCATTAGCAGCTGTCTTTGTTGGCTCCATGCTGGCCAAAAAGGATAAATAACAAGAAACTCTTTCGAGAACGAACCAAACACTTATCACCTAGCAAATATACAAAAGAAAATGGAAATAGATTGAACATGCACTGAGGAGACCATTGAGTGATACCACACACCGGTTAAAACGTCAAATAAAACTCGAATGGGAAGTGACAAGTTAGGCATCCATGGACGACATGGAGAAGAGAAGGCAAAGATAGAGGTTTTTGGGTAATCATACAGCCAGCTTAAAAAGACTACAGATAACGGAGTGAAATGGTGAAGCTCTCTCTATGTTCCAGTCAAAATCCAAATAACAAATAATAATAATTATTATTCATTGAAACTATACTAACTGTATTCTGAGATTTAACAGAATTTCATCTTATTGTATGAGATCTAAAATACTTAATATTGATTATATCTTTTCTTTACTTAGTCCTTCAAACTGTTCAACTTACTTAATGTCACGATACTACTTTTAAATGCTACTACTTTTACTTGTTAATATTTCTAAGATAGAATTTATTAGTGCCACTTTAAAACTGAACATCCGTTTTATATTGGAAATTCTTAAATAGGCCTTAATAATGCCAGAATCATCCAAATAGTTATATGGAAGACCCAAGAATGAAATGGTGTCATTTACAGAAAATAAATTACTGAACTAAAACTGAATCAATAGACATGAGAGGTGATATGAATATAAATTGTTTGAATGATGCTAGCTAATTAAATAAGACTTAGCATTATACATTGCTCGGTGTTCAATGTATGTAAATAGTACTCGTATAGATGACGAGATTATTGATCTTTATTCATTCATGGATTTTTTGCAATAAGTTATACTTTTAAGTAAAAGAGAAGTTCGATTCATTCATTGGAGTTTGGAGCGAAACATAGGGCTTCAAGCTTGAGGTCTGAAGTTTCTGTAGCCACACTGTTGTCGCCTATGGTGTAAGACTGCTAGATTCATTCATACCCAACCTTGTCTCTTTACCAGATTCACTACTGGCTAGGTGGGGTTTAAGAGCACGTCGGCTGAGAATCAAACCCAGATCACTTGGTTGACTGACGAGCACTTTACTACTGGGTCAACAATGCGCCTAAATAAACTTGAAATTAAGGAAAATTAATGCATACTGACCTCTCAATGGACAGCTTTAGAAAAAGTCTCAAAGATGTCGGGAATTGTTTTCTTATTTAATTGGTGGATGGTGACTATCAGTGGAATCTAGGATGTGCATTTCGTACTATTTGGGACTTGTCAGATGGATGTACCTGCATTTCTCAGTGAGTGATGATGTTCCCACCGAGGCTCGAACCCAATGCCCATAGTTTCCAACGCGAACGTCGGTGGGAAAATCATCATTCACTGAGAAATGCAGGTACATCCATCTGACAAGTCCCAAATAGGACGAAATGCACATCCTAGATTCCACTGATAGTCACCATCCACCAATTAAATACTAATTAAATGCCCAGATATCGTCGAAGCATCTGTACAAGAAGCCGACATGTCAACCTGAGACCGAGCACTTCGGTCTAATCAATAGACAGGAAAATCTGAAATTCAATTAAAATTAAATATTGTTTTCTGTTTATTGTTTATTGTCTTCTCCAACAGGCACTTGGATGTTCTGATGGCAAACATTTTATGATTCTACTGAAAAGTCATTGTCAATACAGTGGATTATACAACTTTTCGCCTATTATTGAAATAGCTATGCGTATCAGTGGGACAGGACCTAGTAAAATTGAAAATAATATGGTAGATAAATACTACAAGTTAGTTGAATGAATTTTCTGTGCAAAGATTATTTCACACTGGTCAGCTGTCTGATAGTAGTAGAATCTAGAATTTGCTTCTTCTTTTTCGTGTTATTCAACAACATTTCAGTCATTGTAGATTTGTAGGCTGGAAGTCGAACGCGTCTAATGCCATGTCGTTCTCTATTATGCCTATGAGCGTCGCCCACATAATTTGTTCCTTTTATTTTTACTTTTTGTATTTTTTGTAACATTCCATTATTTACCCCACTGGTGTTACAACCAAAACTGATTCGTTGCTATGTGAACTCAAGAAACCGAACTCAGAATTTTAATTTTTGGCGGACAAAACTTCCTTGAGATAATCACAGTCACAAAATGCTCTAAAGACAGCAAAACGACGATTCTTTGTGGTCGGAATCGATGTGTGGTAACAAAGACAACATCAAACATTCAAGTTACCTTAACGGTGGCTTTAGGTAACTATACAGTCAAAGGAACGTTCTAAGTACAAAACAGGCGCTGCAGAAAAAAATTATTTACCCAAAATTCAGTCGTAAAAAATACCTTAGAATAAAGTAGAGTATTCCCAACAAGGTGGGATCAAAACCTCTGTCCAAAAGAATCACACACCAATACTTGCTGAAGACAGTCCGAGGTCAGAATCCAATGGATTCATTCAGACAAAATCACATCATAAAACAACACAGTATCAATGCAGACACAACCACAAAGAGAAGCATTAAAATTATAGAATAAATAGGGACAAATACAAATGAATAAGGATTAAGTCGATGAATTACGTCGGTCACACAGAGGTGGAATACTTGCCGACCACGCAGGTGGTTCAGGATTTGATCCCCGGCCACCGAAGCATTCCTTTGCCTCGCTGAGTCAGTAATAAGACTGGTAAAGAGGGAAGGTTGGACATGACGCTAGCTAGCTATCCCATCCCGTAAAAATAAATGCCGCTGCCGCAGAAACTTCAAGCCTCTAGCTCGAAGCCCTATGTTCCACTAGCAACGTAAAGGTATTTTAAAAAAGTCAACATATGATATGTAAATGTCAGAACAATGATACAAAGTCTAAAAGGAAAACGGATAATAGTTACAAAGTTAATTGATTGGACCATTCAGGAAGGATTTTCCGAACAATTTTCCCATTACCGCTGGACTGGTACAGTTGAATAGTTTTTGACTATTATGAAGCTGAAGCGTTTATAAAGCAAAACTTAAATCGACTTACATCAATTTACAATCAGTTTACTTACTACTTATGAATTCAATAGTCTACTCTGAAGTAAAAGTTGCTTATATTTAGATCAACTTTGATCAAGGTTTGACGAAGTAGTTCCAAAAACATTGGGAAATGAGTGAAAAGCAGACATGTAAAAATTATATTTATATAAATTTCAGTGAAACTAAGATAAATAATTCAAACATTTCGTTCGGCAAAAAAAAGTGATTATTTGGCATATGCCTTTTTGAAGTGGCTCCAATTTAATCTGGTGTGTATTAGGGCATTTCAATAAATGGGTCTAAATATACCAGGATAAAACTTGGGCACTGTGGTAGAGTAAAATTCTATTATGGGTAAAATTTATTTTCATTAGTTGGTTTGTAAGAAATAGATTTGTTTTTACGAGTTCATCACGGATTGTTATCAGTTAGAGAACCATTGAAAACCAGGGAGTACTGGACACCTATCACATTCTATTTTAGGAGTCATCGGTAGTATACACCCACTGGAGTTCGAACTCAGGACCTTCCGGTTACAAGGCAAGCTCGTATACCATTCAGCCACTAGGACCTGATCAAATGGCCTATGAATCTTAACTTCTGTGCATCGGTAATATACATCGCGAAGCCGTTAGCCAATGTTTTAGGCAAGTAACTCTTCGCTTACCAGACTTGGTGGACTCCACTGCTTATGACTTCTCACTGCTTTTATTCCTTTACGTTCACAGTGGAACATAGGGCTTTAAGCTTCTTGAGCTTCGAAGTTTCGATAGGAGTGGTATTTATTTTCAAATCTTTAAATATTCCCATTTTTGATATTAGAGCAAGACATATAAGCGAACAATATTGTTTTCAATTAGATCTTCAACGGGGTTTACTCTAATTTACATAGTTTTATATATTAAACATTTTTAACCAATGACGGTGATTTTGTGGATCAGATAATAATAATAATAATGTGGTAAATGTTTTGAACGTAGTTAATAACGATGGTCATAATGACAACAAAATATTGATAATAAGGTTTATGCAGGTGGCAATAAGAAAAGCAAAGGTAGTAAGTAACATGTGTATATGTAGACAATTCAATAAATAAATAAATTAGGTCAAATATCAAAAGTTACGTAATACTAAAGGTGAAGTGGACAGATAATCAGAGTTTAAATAAATATCATAAAAATACGGAGATGGAAGATAAGAAAGGGTGGGAGGGTTTTGAATAGAATTCACCTAGGCTAAGGGAGAGACAAAGGTGGAACAAACTTCTTTTGTATGCAAAGACTAGGATTGTTCTCTCGAACTCCCACAACTTCGGCTGTATGTAAAAGACGGATTCGAATTCCGTTCGAAAGGCTCTGTGGAATACGATACATAACTTTATTTTTTCACTTTATTTTCACCAGATAGGGTTTGCTAGCCTCAAGTTCAACCTTCCCTCTTTACCAATCTTATTACTGGCGTAGCAAAGTAAAGGAGTGCGTCGGAGGCCGGGGATCGAACCCCGAACCACGTGAGACATAACTGGCGAGCATTCTGCTGCCCTGCCACCAATGACTTCTCACTAGAAACTTATAACCAATCAAATCTTTGAAAATCAACACCTGATACTTAAAGATTGAACGATGAGACAAGAAAATCCCCTTTTCCCGACGAGATTGAAAACAGGCAGCTTTATAAGTCTTGTAGTATACAATCATGTAAATTTTAGTGCAAACACTACTATATATATATATACAAAGGAGTTAGTCGAGAGTCTAGTAGTTTCTTAATAGTTACAATCCATTTTGTTTTGAAACACATTACTAACCGACGCATAAGCAAAGTTAGGCATTAGAAAAATTCGCAATCGAGTCAGCTTCCCGAACGAAACACTGGAACTGTTTTTATCTCGGTTTCTAGGAAATTTGTAGAAATTTAACTTTTACACATATCCAATAGACAGGTTGTTTTTCAATTGTTCAAATGCGTGTATGAAATTGCGTTGAATAAATAATCTAGTTTCAATGCAAATTTCGTCACGAGCCAATATCAGTTGGAGAAATCACTGAAAACTAGGGAGCACTGGATGACCGTTTCGTCCTAGTTTGGTACTATTCAAAGTGTACACCCAAAATCACACCAAGGATCGAAATCCGGTTTTTCAGATTATGAGATCAAACTCATCGACCATTCAACTACTTGTGCAGCGTTTTATTCCTGGTAGGGTCATAGGTGTTCACCGTTGAAGAGTCCCAGACTAGCAGAAAACAACTGTCTAGTGCTACCTAGTTCTTGATGACCTCTCTAAATGATGTTAGTTCACGACAAAATCCACATTGAAATTTAACCATATTCCAACAAGAACCCATAATCTAAATAATCTAGTGTTTTAATGAACCTTTTTTCTTTCTTTCTTCCTTTTTCATCATTCAAGATATGATAGTGGATTGAAACGATTTGTAGAAATCAATTCGACTTCTCATTTGTCTACTGTTGTTGATGCAATCCTATTACATGGAAGGAGACGTAACTCTACAAAATCATATACAGCACATACAACAAGTTCATCGAAATGTCCTTTGCATACAAAATAATTATTTATAATAAACTATGTGATAATGCTAAAATGTGTATCATATATATAAATCTCTGGTGAGTGAATAAATGGATGAATGTTATGGAGCAAAATGGTATTTGAATTACAGAAGTAATCCAGTCTCAACTTTACCAAAAGCAATGACAGGCATAAAAATCTACCATTTTTTTAAAGATTCTTATCTTGAAACTAATTTGAAGAAAAATTAAACTTTTTTTCCCTATTTTAATGTGAACTGAAAAGAAAAGAAAAAAAGGAAGCATTGTAAACAACTTTTTATCAAATTGGTATTCTTATTTTTCGATTAAACTAATGATAGTAGTCTTAAGAATGGACAATATATCATAAAGACGAATTTATAAAATACGACTCGTCTAACAACAATAGCAACAACAAAATAAACATTACTAACAACTGTACTTGGTGTCTTTCATCTGTCTATATAAAAATTTCAAACCCATTAAAAAATAATCCTGAAAATGTGATATTTGCTTCTTCCATTCTCGTTAAATTGTTTTTCGTTTGTTGTATATACAACAGAGTGGTAAATATGAGAGAAGATTTGTAGCTCAGGTGGATGAATTTGATGTGGTTGCGTTATCTGAGTTAGCTGGATAGTTAATTTGCGAAGCTTTCATCACCCTACTAGGTGACATCTTCAGTGCATACTTCGATTTGATGAAGTGAGCTTTTAGATTTCTCCATGAGTTTATTAATCATCTCTCCTAGTGACCTTGGACGTGCCCCCAAGGAAAGCACAAAGAAAATCGCCTTACCATATATTAAGAATATCTCAGAAATCACTGCGAGACATTTCAAACCTTTAGGAATTGACGTCGTACACAAACCAAAAAAATCACTTCACTCAGCCAGCCCTGTGTTAATCCAAAGAGTCAACAGCGAAAGAAGATAAAACCAACATCATCTACAAAATAAATTGTAACAACTGAGAAAAACACTCCATTGGCCAAAGTGGACGTCCCCTTCGTCTTCGTATCCACGATCATAAGCTAGCCGTCAAAAGACATGATATCCACTCCCTCGCTCATGTCGCCGCACACAGACAACCATGGACATAAATTCGCCAGGGACAACCAGCGTTCAAATATTAGACAGAGGAAACAACAAGAATGACGGATTTTTAGAAGCTTGGCATTCCAGTGAATCATCAACCAATAGACACATAGAAATAGACAAAATTTATCAACCGATAAGAAAGAAACCTCACACACATAGGATCAAAGTTTAAGTCGAAGAAACAATCAGTTCCAATACAAGTAGCTGCCTAGAAGGTGTGAAAACACACAAAAACAACCAATCACGTCCAAGGTCACCAGGAGAGATGACTAATAAACTCGTGGAGAAATCTAAAAGCTCACTTCAACAAATTGAGGTATGCACTGAAGATGTTGGTCGCCTAGTAGGGCGATGAAAGCTTCGCAAATTAACTATCCAGCTAGCTCAGAGAACACAACCACATCAAAATATTAGCTCCGCCAAATTTTGATTTACGAACAGAGAAACCACTAATGGAATCAGAAGAAGTTGGAGATAAACTACTATTAGCGGGTCATTCGAATATTCTTCAGTAGGATAAATCAGAGGTACTCACGAAGTGAGAGAACCTTTAAAGATAGAGAACTATAAATGAACATTCCCTGTAGCAATCACTTAATGTAGACAATTAATGTGAACGGCGTTAATAATACCAGCTACTTTCGGTGCATGCGGAAGATGGACATCAGTGTCAAGTGATCCCGACTAAACAGTTTCTTTTCATACAGATGTTTTTTATCGCATGACTATCAGATAGGTTCACAGTACTCTTGGTTCTAATTGTCGCCATTCGATAAAGTTAAAAGTCCATTATACCGAAGCAAATCAACTCTAAAGTTGTAACTGTCAGGAGAAAATTTATTTGCAATAACTTGGTGACACATTTTTGAAGATGTTACCTAACTTCGTCGGTTTCTAGTTTATTAGTTTCATCAAATGATCTCCAACCGTATAACGACTTCGACATTCACCCAGCATGTTATAATCCTTCAGCCAGTGAATTGGAATCTAACTGACTATAAATCCCAACTTTTATTAATTGGAACTTGAAGTGTCACCCTACCCATTATTGTCTCCTCTTGTATGACATGCGCACTTCACTTAACATGGTACGACGCACCATACAGAAATAATAAAACCAGAATATGATAAAAAATATAGAGAGAGTGAAAGACAGATAGCACTCAGAAGATAAGTAGGCAAGCTTGTCAAGAGTACTACTTTGTGTTACTTCAGGAGAAGGAAACTACTTCATGTTCGCCTTTGATTACGATTTCCAGTCACATCTATTAACATCTCGAGCCAATCAGTCATAATACCTTTCATTCCACAGTACCACATTATGGGATGACGACTCCCTACTTTTCCTTCCCTATCCCGGAGCCAGTAATTGGCTACCGAGACGCAGTTCGTAGCAGATGTCCAAGCTACCGTAGCCAATGTCTCGAAATGCTATCACTTACAGAAAAATCACGTCTACTATGTCCATGCACATGAATTCGGTCCTCAGAATTAATTACTAGGCAGTTCCTCAGGATGCGAGCAGTGTTACCCAGAGAGGGGTGATTGAATATGCAAATTTGCCGCACATCCTCAACCAAGTTTCTTATGTGTAAAGCAAGACAACGGGCAGTACTCACACACTTCACAAGTGTTTCCAGAATGTCGTCGATCTCACAGTTAAAGTGGTAAGTTGGGAAACCTTACTTGTTAAGAATAGAGGTGATAAGGCGTCGTATACTTTGCTTAAGGTACTTCTGTGTATGGCTTTTAGGATGCTTACAGACTTCACAAGAAAATCTATCTGTAACAGACAAATCAAAAGAACAGTTCTGTCCAGTGAATCAAATATAGTCCTAATACCTAGAAATGCCATGGTTTTCGGCATGCGACACATGTCACGATTTTCTAGAAGCTGATGAGTAGTTAACACATGATCAATGTACCCATGACCTCTACGAATATCGTCCCACTATTTGTGTATCAGTCTTCCACGAGTTTTACATAGCCTACGAAGCACGATAGCGGTTATTATTTTTGACTTAACCAGCAACAGGCTGATACGATTATTGATACATGCATTACTAAAGCTCTTTTTACATAAAGATAATGGTCCTCTCATTCTGCACTGATGAGGCCTTCATTTTCCTAAACAATCTAGTTAGTTATCGAACACAATAGTCAACATGAGATAAATACAAAGCCCTAATCGCTTAGAAGGTACAATGACTACAGGACTGAGAGAAAAGTCTAAGTGGAAAATGACTGTATCTATCAGTTATGCTGTCTCACCACCCTTGAGGAAAGGGGTTAGAAAAGGTCGACCACAAAAATTGTACACCCCGACTTACCCCACGGTGCTCCATGGCCAGCGATGAGTTGTCAATACACATCCAAACCTAAATGCCAGTTCAAACCGGCCTCAAGTAGTTGTTTCCTGGGCTCAGCAGTCATGCAACATTAATTCTATTTCTGTTCCAGGTACCCGAAGAATCAATCAAATTCTACGGTGTGGGCAGCCGGGAAGTAACAGCCACCAACACACCTCCAAAGGCACACGAAGCCCTTCTGATCATCATCTTCCATTATCCCTGTCACCCTCATCATTTTGCTTCCCTACTTCTGTTAATACTATTCTGCAGGCTAGCCGGTCATCTTCATTTCATTCTGAAAGCCAGTAAAACACTCCCGATAGTCTCTTATGGCCACACCGCCAACTTTATATTGGAGCATTTAACTTCAGGACCCTCTGCTAAATCGGACAACAGGCATCACTAGCAAGAACTCCGTCATCTCGAGCCATGGATGTATGTTGTGTTTCGTAGACACGCATACAAGGACCGAAATCGGTCATTCACTTAACCTCACCCGGTCAATAAGGTGGATCTGCAAAGTTCACTTTAAGGGTGTCAGGAGATTCCTCAACTAGTTCGCCAGGACTCGCATGTGTAGGGATAGCAATGGGTGTTAGGGCAGAAAAATCACTTCTTGGCTATATCCCAGTAGATAGATGTATGTATGCAGTCCGTCTGGACGGGTCCGTTAGAAGAAGGAAAGACGGCACTACCCGTCGTTGTCTTTTCATAGTCTCCGCTTATGCTCCCAAACGACAGAAGTTCCGATGAGTTCTACCAGAAGCTGTCTATTTGCTGCAAAAAGTGAAACGCTCAGATATAGTTGTTTTAGCAGGCGACTCTAGTGCCCATGTATGGAAGTTATGTTAGACTAAGAAGTATGTAGGTGGTACGTATACAGTACCCTGCCGACGAACCGACAACGGTGATCGTCTTCTACAGTTCTGTTCAGATAATTATCCGTCCCTAGGTTTGTGCACAAAGAGGGCATCGCCTAAACTGGCGACATCCATCACCAAATCAACGTGGGATTCAAATAGACCACTATTGATAGGTGATCGCCGGCCACGCCAGTAGAAGACTGCCACTTCTTCTGAAACACGTGCGTAGACTCCGATCGCACCCTAGTTCGCGCACGTTTACGCTCACGATCAAACGGACACAAAGAACTGTTGGCAGCAAGGCAGTTACTCACCCAAATAGATCGTGACATTGAGTCACAATTATAGCAAGAAATAGCGAAACCAGTATCTGAGGTAAACAGCAATACTCCTGTTGAGGAGGCCTGGCACAATATACAGTTAGCTGTAGACACAGCTGCGAAGGCTGCTAGTAGGATCCAGTGGATTCTACTACGTCATCTGAACTGACTGATGCTGGCGAGCCCTGTTATGACCAGGAGCGAAAGCTACTCAAACGAAAACTAACAAGAAGCCTTCGCAACGACCATGAACAGTGGTGGGCGACAAAAGCAAAAGAGATGGAAAAGGCATCGGCGATTGGCAACATCAGACAACTATTTAGACTTATCAGGGAAACAGGTGGTAATATGCAGACGATAAGTGAAACAATCTCTGAGAAAGATGGCAACATAATTAGACGACTGGAACGCTGGAAAGAGAACTATGAGGAGCAATTTAATTGGCCCACAGCCACGCTCAACCTTCCGAACATCCAACACCTCGCAGAATAGGATATATACACCATCCCTAACTGACGTTGCGGAAGTTGTCACTAGTTTGAAACGAGGTAAAGAAGCAGGGCCTGGTGGAATGACTTCAGAGGTATTTAAGTACGGCGGAGACAGTCTACTGACTGCATTAACTGAGGAACTAGGCAGCGTCTGCGAATCAGAAGAATTGCCGTCGGGTGGGTGTAAATCACTGACTATCCCCATACACCAGAAGGGAGACAAGTCTTCTGAAGTAGTGACAACTAGTAGTGTCCGTCAAGGATGCCCACTGTTCCCATTTCTATTTAATTTCATCGTAGATGTACTAATGGACTTAACCCTAACTGACTTCAGAGACTCAGGGATTGACTTGTTACCAGGGAATAATCTAGTTGAGTTAAAATATGCAGATGATACAGTCCTTGAAATAATAGAGAATTGTGGCTCAGGTAGATGATTTCGAATTAGTTGCGTTCTCTGAGCTGGTTAGTGAAGACGCTGACAAATGCAGTCTTCTGAATATCCTGAGGAGCAGTAATCTTCGAATATTTGGCATGCAATTCGCTCCTGTTAACTGTAAAATGATGCTACAGGACTCGACTTCTAGCTTAAAGAGCATGTCAACCACTTCACTTATTTGGGGAGTTGCATCAGCCCCAGAGGCCTGATGGTTGACGAAAGCTCAACACGGATACAGAAGGTTTGTTTGGCATATGTCAAATTACGCACAAACGAATGTATCGTGTTATACATCATTTGGATTCTATGCGTATAAGAACAGTATAAAGTGATGGTAGAGTCAGTCAGAAGTAGTGCATCTGAATTTAATCGCTCCAGCTGAAAACGGCCATAAGACGCGCTAATTCATCAAATCTAACACTTTTAAGACAAACATATAAGAAGTCGACACACTGAGATCCTAAAATGTATTTCACACATCAGAAAAACAGTAATAATACAGACAGACAAATACAACTGTTAACATAAATACAGCCTTCTTTTTAATCACATCAGTACTTCTAACTTATTCCGGAAGCGAAAAAAAGAGAGGAAAAACGGGTGAATCAAAAGTGGTAATACAAGTGTCTATGTGTTTGTGTGTGTGTGTGCTAAAGAAGTCGATAAATCAGAAAATGGTGCAAATTGTTTCACATTGGGGTGGGTTACAAGAATCCATCAAATGTTGACAATACACAGATCATCATTATCATCATTAGGTATAGAATAGATAACTACAGAAAATAAAGTTTCACAAGCACTTAAAGCGTATAATAATTTCACAGGGGTACCTAGAAAAAGCATATAATACACTGAAGTGAAGATATGCAGATGTCACAAATCCGCGAGGGAATTGATGCAACTGTGATATCATAGAAAACAATATGCAAAATATTCCAGCACGGTATTTTATTGTAACACAATTCCAACCTAAAAAAAAGATTAAAATACACAGTGAAAAGACGTTAAGGTGTATAAAGGCTAAAGAGAAACTTGAAATGTGGTGGCTAGTGAAACAAAGTAAAGGAGAATGATGCTCAAGAAGGCTTAGTGTGCTTTCGGAAGGGTGTGGGGAGTTGTTACTTCCCGGCTACCCACACAATGGAAGTCGATTGATTCTTCGGGTACCTGAAACAGAAAAACTGGTAGTGTTACGTGACCGCAGAATCCAGGGGACAACTGCTTGAGGCCGGTCACACACGGCCTGTGTGAACTGGTTTCTGGGATTAGTCCCGTATTAGTAAACTTACCGCCGGTTACGGACCACCGTAGGGTAAGTCGGGATGTACAACTTTTGGGGTCGAACTTTCTAACCCCCTCTCTCCGGATTGGAAAGACAGCATAGCTGGCTGGCAATCTGGTAATCCGAGGGAAACACCTCACTGCTGTTACACCCCTGTTCCCCAGCAGTGCGACTCCGCCCTCAGACCCCCAGAATACTGTAAGAAAGATTCTTACGCAATACCGGTAACTGCTTTTAGTCTAATCGTTATCCCAACAGTCTTCCTGGCATGGAACATATGTTCCAGCCAGTGTAGCTTGTTGGTCATCGCGATGTGCAAGCCCGATCACCATGTCAAGATAACAGCTATCGGTTGGGTAGTGAAACAAAACACTTCATCCATAGAGCAGACAATATATGCTGAAGTTACATATATGCTAGATTAAGATAAGCAAGTTTTACAAGTGCTAGACTGAAATTTTTAACCAGAGAAAGGTATAAAAGAACTCCCTTGTGTTTCTGAGTGGAGCATAGGGCTTCAACAAAATATTCCCATTTCGTCCTGTTCTCCGAAGTTGTCTTTAACTGACTCCTTAACTGTCCATGAGTCTTCATCTCCTCTATGTTACTCCTGGGGACACATGTCTAACTCGCTGTTTCCCTTCCAGGCCCCACTCAAGGATCTGCCTAGCAAGTAATAATACTTAGAATGGCCTCCTTAGCAAGTGTTCGATCCATCTTTATTTCCTTCGGCATATTTCTGGGGCAATAGGTTCTTGGTTGGTCCGTTCCCAGAGTTCGTTGGTGCTAATTCTTTCTGGTCAGACATTTGGTCTTCAGTATGGAGTGAAGGCAGTTATTGTGATAAAAGTGTGCATTTTGTTACGCGTGTGCCAAGTCTCTGGACCATAAAGAAGAATTGACTTGATATCGAAAAAATTTGTAGCAGCAGACCAATATTTCGTTTCATATAAAATTAAATACTGAATTAAAACAATCCGAAGCAAACTTCATCTCTCGTAGTGAAATTCAAGGCAATACAGTATTCACTGGAAGGTGTTAACAGATAAGCAACAAGGAATTTTGGTAACGAATGAACCAATCGACAACCAAAAAAATACACAGAAGAAAATGCAGATGGATTGAGCATACACTCAGGAGACACCACTGAATAACATTATAGACCAGTCATGCCCCCCAGTGGGACTTGAATGAGAAACGACAAGTTGGGGATATATCCGAGGATGATATAGAGAACATGTGCGGAAGAGATAAAAGATCGGAAAGACAGCAGAGAACAAGGTGGAAATAGGAATGTGTTATTTAAGCCCCAGCGTCGGTGGCATAGCAGTTAGGACGCTCGCCGACCATACACATGGTCCGGGGTTTGATCCCCGACAGTCGACGTACTCCTTTACCTCGCTAAACCACAAATAATGCTGGTAAAGAGGAAAGGTTTGGCATGAGGCTAGCAACCCCATCCAGCGAAATAAACACTGCTACAGAAACTTTAAGCCACTAGCTTGAAGCCCTATGTTCCACTGGGGAATGTGAAGGAAAAAAATTTACGCCCCACATTCCACTCGGGACCGAAAGGAATAAAAATATAATGAATAACATTCAACTGAAGGTGTTATAAGATAAGTTCGTGTGAACACCAATAAAGTGTACTCAGCTATAATACCAAAGATCTATTGGAAAAGTGTTTATCTCACAGTGATAAGGTGAGCTGAATATCCTTCAGTTAGCCGTATACGACATTCCAAAGAAGCAATACACATAAATAAAGTGTTGACAAAATGTATGCGGAATATTTCTTAACGAAACCGACAAATTTCGTTCGAGTGATTTAAAACTAATCATAAAGCGTCGTTGAATTAAGCAGTTTTTTCCAGTCGTCAGTCAGTTCAAACCTAGCCACACCTATTTTGACCAAAAAAAAACACCACAAGTCCCCTGAATCAAGTGTACATAAGAACCTATTATATGAAATATCTTCATAACAAAAACTACTTGGTTACTTAAGAGATAAATCCGATAACAAAGAAGTAAACATTTTCACCAACCTCAGAGGGATCAGCAAATGGACAACGCCAATTGTATAAATAATAGTGTAAATCACCGTCGCCAATACCGAATTTCAATTCTTCAAGAAACTTTTTATTCTCCATCAAATCCAAAGCATTGAATACATCAAATTTCAGCTAAAAATAATAATTACAAGGTGTTAGTATTTATTAAATAGACGCAAATCAGGTCGAATATTTATGGGGTGAGGGGGGGGGGGCTGAGAACTTTTAAATGCACTAAAGAAGTTGATTACATAAATAAAAATAATTCTTAATGAGTTTGTTAAAAGTATGATGTGTGTGCGTGTGTGTCAACATGAAGTCTAGTGTTCAAAAACGTGGAGGTTTTATTCCCACTATCTCAGCGAAAAATTGTCACAGAGTAACCCCCACCCCCATATTATCCACGTATGTGATGTGGTTTACTTCCACAGGCAAAGAATCTAATCTAATCGATATCATGTCCGCTGTCAAGTCATTCACCATTGTCAGCAGACAAAGAAACAAGAAGATGCTTGCCATTGCAGAGGCTTCTGCAATTCAAGTTTATAAACCAAGTCTCCGTGTACAAAAGGAGATGGTCGTCACTCTGCATCCACCATGGTAATACGATTTACTTATTATTCTACCTATTATTATTATTCTTGATTCATTTAAAACTATGCTTTATCAGGAAGATTATCTTAACTCACTTCAACACTATTATTATTATTGTTATTATAACTATTACTAATGATATTACTGTTTGCAATTCTCGTTATATTCTCTTATAACTAATTCTTTATCTAAGTGATGTAACTGAAGCGTAATGCAATTTATCTTAATTTTGATCTCTCACACTCTCTCTCCCTTTATCTATTTGAACATGACCTGGAAAACATTCTCACCTGTCTTTCTGCATGACTGATTCAATGTAGTCTGTTTACTTATCAGTCTTATATCTCCCAATGTAATTTCAAAAGTATATATATATCCGTGTATTTAGAGTATTCAGCTGACGAGTTCTACCGAAACTTGATGAATTCATTAAATCCTGCTTTATTAACCTTTATTGCTTGTTTTTAAGTATAACAATGACTCCTTCTTTCCAAACAGTGTCAATATCACTTTTTAAACTAGAAAATCCAGACTTCAGAAACTATTATGCAAGAAGCTGGTATTCATTCAACACATAACCTTAGTTGAAAATGTTCGGTATGCAGGGTTCATGGGCCAGTAAATTCTACCCCAATGGCTCAACGGTTGACAGGATGATCACCTCATAGCCCGAAGGTCCTGAGGTTCAATCTCCGGCGAGGTTATGGATGTGTATTACTGATGACTACAGGAAGAAAGAGCCCACCCAGTACTCCCTGATTTTCATGACTTCTCTATCTAAATGAAGTCATGAAGTGATCGGTTAAAAATATTTTGTACGGATACTTTGTAGGTCTTTTATTATTTTATTTACTTATAAATTTGATAAAAGCATGGTCACCAAGAATTGTATCACACAGAATAATACAAAAACTATGTAAAGAAGGAAGAAACGAAAATAGTTAAAGCATAGTTATACAGACATTTTGAAAAAGTACAATCAACTTCTTGGTAGTAACACATTGAAGTCTCATCCACTATCTCCGTTTACCCCTCAAGAAGTTCGCCTGCTAAGTTATCTTAATAATAATAATAATAATAATCTAGATTGTCTAATAAACTATTCACCTCTTTGCCTAAATCCATTAAATTACTTTAATCTCTGTATGTTTCCAATTTTCGAAAAAAGAGTATATTTAAAAACGTGCATCTATGAAAATGAACTCGTCAAAAAGGCAGTTAGTTACCCTCGCTGCTACTGATGATTTGTTTGTACAGAATTACATTTGCCGAGTAATATAAAACAAGTTTTACGACGAACACAAGATTTAGGCATCGTATCCTCTTTAAATATTCATTTCTGAGATTTTGAAGCACACACTCGCATAATAATTCGCACAAACAGCAACTAAAACACGCAACACATAAATAATATAGGTTCCAGTTTCTCTTGATATGTTCTCATGTGACAACGCGTTCGTAGCCTGTGCCATGTAAGTTCTGTTCAATGCCTTCACGTGATGGGAGTCTTCCTCATAAAAGTGAAAGAACAAATACAAACGTCTGGCACTAACAACCAGACTGGTGAACAAGCTGATCTACCTAGGTAAGCTGAAAAACCCTAATTCCAAACCAATGATGTAGATGGGCTCCAGAATCCGAAAGGATCAAATGGAGTATGAAACCTGTTGTGGTCACTGGAAACAATGGGAACGCAACACCGCTTTGTGGATCAGACTTAAAGTCGGCAGCTCGAGGATGACCTTTAAGACACCCAACTGTTTGGGTGTGGCAGCCCGGGCAGTATTGCAGCTCTCACGCAAACTATGAAATTTTGTGTGGCACACTGTTTGGTGCCTATAATGAGCCAAGGTTGTATTTTAATAATAGTAATACTAATAGTAAAAATACATAAAACACGGTAAAAGACCAAATACGTATTGATGAAGGCCAGAATAGTTTTATTGATGAATACTTACTTGCTTAGCTGAAATTAGCATATCTTGAATTAAAGCTGGCCATGGTGTTACAGTGGACACATTATAAAATGAATAAGCTGCACGTAAACTGTTATGCTGTTTGCTTTTCATTACAGAACTAGGAAGAACATAGAAAGAACAAAAGTCGGTGATTTGGCCATCCTCACCCTAAAATAAGTGAAAAGAAAAAAACGAGAGAACAATTATAAAGTCTAAACTACGAGTGGTGAACTCTGCTTAAGGTAATGAAATGAAATGAATAGAAAGATAGATAAAATAAACATCCATTTCCTAATATAGACGATGATAAGATCTAGTCGTTTTGTCTCCATAAAATATGCTGAAATACACTTGTATTTTCTGATAACGATAAACTCAAACTAGTAATATATTACCTGGCATTTTTACGTAACAAGCCAAGTTACCACGCTTCATTAGATCTAACTGAAGACTATAAGAACAGAGAATGGAAGACATCATTTAAGAAGACACACAATCCATAATTAAATATCTTATAATTAGACGGTTGGAGGTAATCGATAGGAAGCTTTGGATCTAGGTTGTGTGACTGTGATTGTTGGTACTCTTCAACAAGCGTATATCAGAAGCGACATGAGTTCTTTCAGTTCCTAGTGCACCATGATGGACAGTCGCCTAGCATGGTGGACACATTGCAAACTTGACTGATGAAATTTAGTCTGTAGCAAAGGACTAGATGCATGACACCAGTTAGCGTCCAATGAAAAGTATCTTATTATGTGCCGTCTTCATGTAAACAGATTAGCGATGTATTCACTCAAATGCTATGTCACTAATGGACCAGTTGGCTAACATAAAACCAAGGAGAACGAATTTGCTTACATACTGCACGACACCAGTACTTCAGAAATAGTGACAATGAAAATTTTGTGTCCCCTGATTCTACCTTTTTCGTAGTAAAGCTACTCCATACCAAACAATTATGAAGTCTAGAGATCCAGTAGCGTGTGTTTGGACACGATGGAGGTCACTATTCACTGAGTGTCGTCATCTGGAAACACCGGTTTTGGTGACTTAGACTAGACAAATACTACGAATGTCATTCCAGCGGCACATATACTGGTCTCTGTTCACTAGCCTTGCGACTAGCTGGAAAGAGCACAGAGGTGGTCAGCCTATAAAGTGACGCCACGGGATGAAGGACGTTTGTGTTGGATAAGCATCAGTTGGTACATTACGACTACCTGACTGGGGTTCAAGAGATAGTTCGATTAAGTGACTCAAAATGTGATTAGTTATGGTCAAGAATCGCAATCAATGGCGTGATGTGAAGTGATGGATGTTGAATGATCTAGACAAGTATGCTTGCTTGCATTCTGGATTACATTCCTTACTCATTTTTTCCTGATTTTCTTTACATATTGTTGCTTATTATTTTTGTGAAGCGCATCCCTTGGTGCCCATAATGTACAAAGTTTGTGTCTCAAATAAATAAATATTTGCTTCAAGTTAGACGACGGATTGATATCAGTTAGATAGCCATGGAAAACCAGGGAGTACTGAAGAACTGTCTCGTCTAGTTTGGGACTCATCGGCAGTACATGCTCACTGAGTTTCGAACCCAAGACCTGCCGGTTACAAGGCAAGTTCGCAGACCACTCAGCCACTGGGAACCGATTCAACGGCTTGGGTTCGAAACTCAGTGAGCATGTACTGCCGATGAGTCCCAAACGAGGACGAAACAGCTATCCAGTACTCCCTGGTCTTCCATGGCTATCTAACTGATATCAATCGGTGGTCCAACCTGAAACAAATACAATGTCTACAAACTAATTTTTGTAAATTAATATTTCTCTTGTAATAACTTCATGAGTATCAGAAAGACCATTTCGCTCAAGTTTAAAGGGAATCAGACACATTATTATTATTGTTCCCTTGGGTTCCTAGTGGAACGTACGGCTTCGACTGCACGTCTCCACTTGCCACTTCTGTCTTCCTTCTGCTGTACTTTTCACCTGCGTCCATGTTAGTCCATACTCTTTCAACTCCTCTTCACATGATCTCCTCCATGTCACCCTTGCACTGACTTCCCACTAGCCGCTTCCCTTTCGGGTTCCACCCGAGCAATGGCCTGACGCGCGAGCGATGTCACCCAGCATCCTCCTCAACGAGTGTCCAATCCATATCCATTTTCTCCAACGGCATATTTGTTGGTTGGCGATTGGTTCTTGTTTTGTTAACTCCCATAGTTTCTTGTTGGTGATTCTTTCCAGCCATCTAATAGATCTTTAGTATAGAGCGATAGTTGACAGTTGTTGATAAAGGTCTGCAACAGGCTGTTGGAAATATTCTTTGTGACCCGCCCGCCAAGTTTCTGATCTGTATAGAAGAGCTGACTGACTTGACGTTGTTTGTATTGAAAATCCGAGAGAATTTTGTTGTTGATTCTGGTTGAGTGACGAAGATTTCCAGATTGGTTTCAGGTTGAAGAATGTGTTTCTCGATTTGACATCCTCGTCCGTTCCTCCTGTAGACACATAGGGAATCCTTAAAAGATGACACATGACTCAAAAAAATTGCACAGACTTTGAGCTAAAAATATCACTTTTTTCCTCTGAAAACGATTCGACAGATACCGGGTAACTTCAAGTAGTGGGGTGTCGTAGTGGTAGTAGTCAGTAAAGTATATCATTTAAACAATTACCAGTGAATCTCTAAACAGTGGAAGAAATTTCTGAATAATCTGTGTTCTTCTTTCAGATTTCTCTGAAGGAATAAATGGATGAAGAAAACTGCAAGTGAATATCTAATAAACTAAACCGCCTGTTTACAAGAGCAAACTTCTTATCCAACGGACGCTTCGCATTACAGATTGTGTAGAATTACAAAAGCGACTGTGACTATTTAAATCAACAGTTATACCCAACACAAGTATCAATGTGTAATGGAAAAAAAAGTAAATGACTACGCGACTTCATGACAGCGGGATCCGCCAAGTCTGGTAAGAGAACAGTTACCCGCTTGCGATGTTGGCTGGCGGTTGAGCTATGCATATATCACGAATCGGCGGCAGGAGTTGGAATTCATGAACCATTGGATCGGGTCCCAGTGGCTGGGTAATCTACGAACTCGTCTTGTAACCGGAGGCTCTTGGGTTTGAAACCCAGTGGGTGCGCACAGCGAGGAGTCCCAAACAAGGACGAAACAGCTGTCCAGTACTCCCTGCAGGTTTTCCAACGGTTCTCTAACTGATATCAACCCGTGGTCAAGCCTGTAACCAATCAAACCCCTGCTTGATAATTAAATTCGCAGAAAAAAATAATAAAGTATTAACTTGGTGCAAAATATCTAGGTAGTCTAGATGAAAAAAAAATGAAAACTACATCAAGGCGAGTAAATAAGAGTAAATCAAAAGAAGGCACAGACATGTGTATATCGCCTTTTAGTTAACCTACCTCTACTACATACGAATGAACAACATCGTCACGTGTCATAAAGAAATGCTGAAACTCTTCTTTTGTAAAAATAGGATGGATACTAAACTTCTCCAAATACTGAAATGCAAAAACCAAATAGTATTCCCATAAATATTAAACTGATGAATATAAATAGCATTTTAATAAATCATACAAAAATTTCTCATATCGTATATAACCAATGGCACATGATACAGTTGTATGCCTCTTTTATTAAGTGAACGATCGATAACTGCAGATAACTAAGTAATATTGGTTAAAACAATCATTTCTAGAGGTTGTGTACTATGCCGAAAAGATTGCACGGAAAGCAGGAAGACTAGAGGCAGTTACTATCACAGTATAAATAACGTATACGATGATGGAAGTTTGAGAGTGAATTAGATGGGGATGTGACACACTTAATTTTAGATCTAACTCCGTTGATCGAAATGCGTTAGTTGCGTTAATATCTAGTTGCAAAGGGATTGCAAGGAAATGTCCTACTAATGAAGGCATTCTAACTGGACCTATGTAGCCTTCCAAGAGTTTATGAACAGTCATCAACTACCATTGCCCACCAGAGATGCTTAGTGCAGGTAATGCTTACTTAGTTCTTTTGTAAACATCCTTGTTTAATGTTACTTTCACTTTGAACTACGAGGAATTGATTTTATATTGGAATAAGCCATTATCAGCTTAGTGTGAGCAGACAAAGACGCTGGTGAAATGCAACGAAATGAGTACAAATATGGATATATGTTTAGCACAGGCGATGTCGTTCCACTTGGTTACATGGTTCGTTTACATTGAATTCCAGTTTACGTTTAAGTATTATTATATGGGAGTTGTTAGACCAGAAAGAGCATGCATCCGTTGATTCCAACTGCTGTTATAAACCAAATAGCAAGGTGTGAGTTGTTTGACTTGGTTCGTATGAGGATGAGAATTAATAGGTGGACTAATGGTGAAACGCTTGTAAATCGTTTATAGTGGGAATGTTTTTGTACAACATCGTGTTCTATATTCCAAATATTTTCACTACTATATATACATATACATATAAATTATTCCTCCTCCTAGTTTACATATGACTATTGTAGTGTGGTACTTTGAAACTGCTCTATGGTATGCATTTTGGAAGTGCAGTAACTTGAGTACATGCATACATTTGTGTCAAGTTATACAATAAACAATTACCTATAACCTTTAGTAAATGTAATTTCAAGATAGTCAGAATGTGTTAAACTAATCAAATTTCATTAGTAATGTCTCTCTGTCTAGTGATGCCTGTTGTCCGATTTGGCAGAGGGTCTTGACGTTAAATGCTGCTATATGAAGTTGGCGACGTGGCTTTAAAAGGCTATCTGGGGTGTTTCTATGGCTCTCACCGTTGTTTGTGGTCACAGAGTGAAGTGAAGATGCCTCACTAAACTGCAGAATAGTACTAATTGTAATAGAGAAGCAAGTTGGGGAAGGTGATGTGAGTATAGGAGAATGATGCTCAAGAAGGCTTAGTGTGCTTTCGGAAGGGTGTGGGGAGTTGTTACTTCCCAACTGCCCACACAATGGAAGTCGACTGATTCTTCAGGTACCTGAAACAGAAAAACTGGTAGTGTTACGTGACCGCAGAATCCAGGGGACAACTGCTTGAGGCCGGTCACACACGGCCTGTGTGAACTGGTTTCTGGGATTAGTCCCGTATTAGTAAACTTACCGCCGGTTACGGACCACCGTAGGGTAAGTCGGGATGTACAATTTTCGGGGTCGACCTCTTCTAACCCCCTCACTCCGGAGTGGAGAGACAGCATAGCTGGCTGGCAATCTGGTAATCCGAGGGAAACACCTCACTGCTGTTACACCCCTGTTCCCCAGTAGTACGACTTCGCCCTCAGACGCCCTCCAGAAAGATTCTTACACAATTCCGGTAACTGCTTTTAGTCTAATCGCTATCCTAACGACTTCCTGACATGGTAGAACCTGTAGGAGCATTGGTTTCAGCCAGTGCAGCTTGTTGGGTTATCGCGATGTGCAAGCCCGAGCACCATGTCAAGGTAGCAGCTATCGGTCGGGCATTAGTAATGTACTCGATAGGAACTATTGACTGACTGATTGACCGAATTTCAACATAGAATTTTGCACACAAGTGCAACAGTTCAAATTGCCACACTTTGCGTAGCAAAGGTAGACAAAAGAGAAAAAAATAAGATTTTTTAAAAATAATAAGCAGAAATGCGAGGGAAAAGTATAGGGACATAGAAAAACATGACAGTTTAGTGAATTTGGGGGGGGGGGGATCACAGAGAGTGTATGTATGTGCACTACTGGGAATGATTTTGAGCCATGTTATCAACAGTCTCTAGCTACTAGTTCTTAGAGACCTGAGGAAAACTGATTAAGGTTAAAAGTCTTCCTCGGTTAAATACTACAAATCACAGGATGCTCTGTCATTTTTGATAATACAACTTGAGGTGAATTAGATTATGTGCTGAGGATGTCAGATGTACTATGGATAGGTATGTCAGGAACCAACCAACAACTAATCAACATTGATCAATACATAGAGAAGACAAATAAGCAAGCTTCACTGGTTGACATTGATAACGGAAAATTAACAGCCAAAAACGATGAATCTTGACTATCTGACTAATTAGTTCCATAGTCATTAGTGTATATATTTTTTCAAATATTCACCTGATGTATAAGTAAACCGGTTAGAAGACAGTTGGGATGAGAAGATGATAATCATGGCTTCAAGAAAGCTCTAGTCTAGTCTACTATATACCACTGAATTTACGATGCAGTCTCATTCTAACTGAGATTCGTAAAAACGAATCTGTAAAATTAGGCTGCCTGTCAATAACTCATGCTAATAATCACTAGTGCGATCAGTTGGTTATAAGATATTACAAGATCCATTCAGGCACTGCAATACTACGACTACTAGACAAGGTGTCCATAGACCGGGCGAACTAAACGAGATGTTGCAGGTCTGAATTGCAGAGTATGACCCAGTTTAAATCACTATTCTACTACGTAAGCATAAATCTGCATGCTACGGCCACCTCTCACTACCTTGACAACGAGAGTAAAGCGGGCTGTTTATTTGAAAAATAATGGATAATTGATACTCGAACTTTGTAAAAACAAATTGAATCAAACATATACACATAGTATACTTTACGCTTTGACTATAAAAAATTATTTGGTAAATAAATGCAAACACCAAACTCACCTGAGATAATAAAGACCATGCCTTTGAGACGTCTTTTTTTGTCATTTGACGAAAACCTTTCACAAGAGGAGCTTCAGGTAATCGATAAAGCTTAATAGTCCTTTGTAAAGTCATGTTGTGTGTGAGGTGAGAAAACCCGCATTCAAGAAGTTTACGTGGATTAAGAGGACGATGCCAGTATCTATATGAATAATTTTTTTCAAAATATAAAATTGATCCAATTTAATAAAAGTAGAATCCCGCATGACTTACTAATGAGTCGTCAAAAACCGTTAACCCCTGTTCAACAACTTCTATCAATTACTCAAAATTGAAAGGGTGGATTTGAGTCACTTTAATAACTAAAAAATCAATAGTAGTCACATAGATTATTGATCTGTCGTCCGTTTGAAAATTAGTATGGTAATATTAAAACTCAACTAGAAACAATCATTTTATTGTTTAGGCAATTCAATTTAGATTAGCAAAAATTACGGTCCATGATATTATGAGTAACACCCAACAACTCAACTTGAATGAGTAAAATTATACTGAGGCGATCGATCGGGCATTCATTAGCCAATCTTACTTACACATAAAAGAAAAGAAAAGTTTTTGAGGATAAGACAAAGAATATTTGTATTTTGCAACATAAATTAACCCTGATTGTAAGTGAATTTCAACGTAGAACTTTGCAATACACAGAAGTGTACCAGTCCAAGTTGTCACACGTCAAGAAGAAGAAGAAGAATGAGAATTTATAATAAATTTGGGAAATTGCAAAAAGTGAATACATCTACGGAAATTAACAATTCACAATAAAAAGATACCAAGGCTACGACGCAACAACTACTTGCATTAATATACACTATTGGCAATTAGCCACACCTATTGCATGGGCACAAGAAGCATTGCCTGGTTATCCAAACGTCAGTAGGTGAGGCGACATTCGACCTCGTGACTCGGCTGTTAAACACCTGAACAGATGAGCCAAAACCCTACAAACAGGGAGAATAATATTCATTCATGTCTGGAATAATACGTCAAAAGTGAAGCTGAAAGATTGCTTTCGTCAGTTGAGAAAAAAGGTCAGATCACTAACTAACAACGCGACGGAAAATACCAGTATCTCAAATACAGTTTCACTATGATTTCAATTTGGTGAACTGGATTATGCGTCAGACAGTGGGAAACGAGAAACGGGACAGGCATATCCTGGACCGACGTGAAGAACCTAGAAGACTTGGATTTCACGCGTGGATGATTTATGTTTGATGTCACACAAAATCGAAGACTTACAACCGAAAACCGACAAACTGGTCGAAGAAGCAGCCGGCGAAGACAGGACTCCAAGTGAACATAGGCAAGACGGAGGTTATGAAAATAACAAACCAACAACAACAACAGCAGAAACATCCAGCGTCAATCACCATCAACGGGAGGGATTTGAAAGGGGTTACTTCATTCACTTATCTGAGGAGCATTGTCTCAACTACAAGAAGTCGGGACGGACGAGGATGTCTAATCGAGAATCGGGAAGGTGAGAAACACATTCATCAACCTAAAACAACCAATCTGGAAATCTTCGTCACTCAACCAGAATCAACAACAAAATTCTCTCGGATTTTCAATACAAACAACGTCAAGTCAGTCAGCTCTTCTATACAGATCAGAAACTTGGCGGGCGGGTCACAAAGAATATTTCCAACAGCCTGTTGCAGACCTTTATCAACAACTGTCAACTATCGCTCTATACTAAAGATCTATTAGATGGCTGGAAAGAATCACCAACAAGAAACTATGGGAGTTAACAAAACAAGAACCAATCGCCAACCAACAAATATGCCGTTGGAGAAAATGGATATGGATTGGACACTCGCTGAGGAGGCCGCTGGGTGACATCGCGCGTCAGGTCCTCGAAAGGGAAGTGGCGAGTGGGAAGTCAGTGCAAGGGTGACATGGAGGAGATCATGTGAAGAGGGTTGAAAGAGTATGGACTAACATGGATGCAGGTGAAAAGTACAGCAGAAGGAAGACAGAAGCAAGTGGAGGCGTGCAGTTGAAGCTCTCTGTTCCACTAGGAACCCAAGGTAACAATAATAATTATAATGATTTCAATTTAACCGAAGAACTGCTGATAAAAACAGTTATGCACTGGATAGCTGGAAACCAAAATCACAGCGAACTGAGTTCTAATCCAGTTTATGATGACTAAGAACCCAGTGTCTGAAATTACAATCAAGAACTCATACTATATATAACCGAGATTTTGAATAATAAAGAATCAATCACACATCTCTAACCACCACCATTCAACTCATATATACTCATAGTAAAAACGAATTTAAAAGAGATGAAATTTACACAATTCCACAAAGATAGTTAAACATACCGGCATTTGCTAACTGGTTTCGGTAACAAGGTACCACTGGTAAATAGAGCTTGAAAAAGTCCACGTAAGTGAACACGACGTGTTACTTCTCGTATTAACACTGGAGCCATACGCTTGGAGCGTAATTTCTTATGCACACAAAGATAGTTAACCTCAACCAATTTTTTTGATCTGCAGAAGAAATTGTAGATAAAAGTAAAAGCAAAATAATTAAGTGATTTGTTAGTTTTCTTCTCAAAACAACTGAGAACACAAAGAAAAACAAATACAAATGAATCATCATCGAGACATAAGTGTATGTAATACTCATTTAAAAAGTATAATAAATTGTGAAAGAAGATGCGGTGATTGACTAATTGGCTAATTACTATATTGTGTAAATATTCGCTGCTGTTTGTTTCTATTTTCTGTAAATGGACAACACGAATAATGTCGGGTACGCATTTCTGTCTTCTATACTATTCGTGTTTTTGTCGTCGCCTTTTTTGCTAGTATTCAACCACTTCAGATTATAATTACAATCAAGTATTACACATTATGCTTCAGGTCATAGAGACGAAAACATCTTCCAGCTGGATTAGTAACACTGCGGCAAATTTTCTGGAAACAAACTAATGTGTATCTACCAATTTGACTGCTCCTGTGGAGCCAGTAAGTTGCATAGGTTGTACAATTAGGCGCGTTTACTGCCGGATTTCCAAACACCATCCTGCGTAGTTGGGATTAAGTAACGGACAAACAAAATTCATTCATAGCTCTATTTTATCTCATCCGTCTGTCTGTTTTCGACATAGAACTTTGCACAAATGTGCGGCAGTTTAAGTCGCCACACTCCCTCCTTGTAACACACAAAGCAAAAGAAGAAAGTAGAAGAAATGCATAATAGAGATAGTAAACAGAGGTGTGAGACAAAGGAATAGAAATAACGAAGAACAATAAAGTTTCATTGGAAATCATAAGTCACAAGGAGTGGATGCATCTGCACCAGCCATAGAGAACGATTTCGAGCCATATCACCGATTGTTTCTAGCCATTGGTTTTTACCGTCCCGAGGACCCCAACCAGGAAGCCAGTCTACACCTTCCTACGTGACTGGCTTAAACTAACTGTTGTGGATTTTAATGACTAGTGCCATGTTTTGGTTTGACCTCCGCTAGCTTTTTACAGCCTGACGCTATGTCAGCTAACATTGACCGTCGAGGAAGGTGATGACTAGGCATACGTAACACATGTCCTAACCATCTCAGTCGATGTAACTTCACAACCTCGCCGATTGATTTCCCCTTCTTACCTAGAACCCGACCCATGCCTAACCTCAATATTGCTCACCTTATTATACCACTTCACACGGGAGATAGAACGCAGGCACCTATGATCAAACACAGCTAATTTTTTCATGTCTTCCACTCTCAATGGCCACGTCTCACAGCCATAAAAGAGGACGGAGCGAGCTGCTGAGCAGTACACCCGCCCTTTGGTCGATATCCAGCTGGATATCACGTCTACGCCAGAGACGGCGTAAACTGGCGTAAGCGAAACTAGCCCTCTGTATCCGTGCTGAGATTTCGTCAGAGATCAACCCGTTGGGGCTGACGGTACTTCCCAAACAAGTGAAGCGGTCAACGTGCTCTACCACTTCACTCCTTATTTCTAAACTAAGAGTAAGTATTCGGAATGGATACGGGACACAAAATTTTATTTTTGATTTACAGCTTGATTCCACAGTGTATTTTTGGTACAAGTATGGAATCTTCAGCATGGATATCAGTAGCCCAAATTTTGCAGACCGATCATAGATATCAGGCGTGCGCCGGCAGGGGATGTTAACGAGTCACCTACAGCATGCCAACTAATCTTAACTTTACCTTAAGAGTCCTTCTACTACAGATTGTTGAGGCAGTTGGGATCCACATTAAGAAACATAACTTATGTATCCAAAAGAAGCTGGTTCAGACACTTTCCTTACCTTGGTCGTCAAGATTTTAATGATCTTCAATTCATTGCGGAAATTTCCTTAATTTTAGTTGATATTCTATTTGCTACTACACTTTTATGCTTATTATAATTTATGCATCTTTCGTGAACTGTATTTAAAAACGTCACTACTGTTAACGACGATTATTCCAGCATATTATATATATATATATATATATATATATATATATATATATATATATATATATATATATATATATAATCGTAGAGTCAGAGTATGAAATTATCGAAAAGGATATACCTATACAATTCCAAAGACAGCATGATAGGACTAAGATCTAATACTAGTTGACAATAAGTGGACAAAGATTCCCCACTTAGCACACCTTTGAATGTTCTGAAGATGGAGTCTAGAAGTTCAACGTAATATGGAATATTACTGAATGAGTTCGATTCCCTTCGGTAACACTTCTATCAAGGCTAGTCATTTGTAAATCTTTAGCCAATACAAGTACCCCTTGACTTTCAGTAATTATTCAAATAACTCTACTTCATATAGAAAGCTGTCTAGAAACGCAATCAAGCGTCGAGAAATTACCAAATCATCTTATTGGAAATCAAGAGTTAATCAATCTCTTCTCTGCATAACAGGAAACATAACTATGTAATTCATTGGACTAGGTAAATGGAACTTCCTGCAATGTACCTTCTACTTTAGTCTGAATAGCCAACCATCACAAATCCCCACTCATTGGGGGTAGTTTATAAACAGTGCCAACCGTGCTGAGTTGCATATACACAAAGGTATAACAACAGAAATGTACAAATTTCTGTCTTATACGTTTAAAAAATCAAAACAAAAACAAACAAACAACCAAAAAAGAACGAGAGCATATTTTACTTGTCATATATCTGCAAATGACATGGAATGGCTGCTATAAACCCGACTAGCTTTTTGCTTTTAGTCACACGAAGTCCAACATGCCAATCTTTATGCCAACCAGGTGACTTCAGAATCCTAAAGAAAAGAGGAGAGAAATGTAGAGGTTTTAAGACAAATAATAGCTGATGCAGGCATTGAAAAACTAACCAGCAAATTAATTCGAATAAATAATGTAAAAAAAACTACAAATAGAGCGTGATCGATCGAATCTATGATTGCAGAAAGGCAATAGACTATCATTATGCATTTTGTTTTACGGAAAGTAGAGGTATGGCTGACTGAATTCGCCATTTGAGTTACAAGCCAATAATCGGATAACTAAATTTTAATGCTGATTTATGTACTTTGACCTAGGCGTTGGGGTATTGTCATGTAACATCACATATACTGTGTGGCTTGTAGCCATGTACTCGTAGAACCTGTATCGCATAAAACCCATTTTCCTAACCTTGGGTCTGATCATGTTCTTTTGTGTATAATTTCATTTGACTTCACTTCGTTTTTGTATTATTATTATTACCACCATAACTCCACTGTCTTTTGGCAATATCTGAGGTTTCGTGTGCATTTCGGATTGTGAGGGCGATTGTTACTTCCCGGCTGCCCACACCGTGGAAGTTGGCTGCGTGACCGCAGAGCCCAGAGGACAACTGCTTGAGGCCGGTCACGCGGCCTGTTTTTGTTTGTTCTTTTTTGTTTGGTGTGTCTCAGTAGCATATTTATCACTTCTGTCCTGTGACAAGGCAGCAGGAAGCACGGTCGTTGTTAATCCGGGTCCCGACCGATCCGGCATGATATTTTGTGAGTTTGTTCGTATCATAGTATTGGATTGGGTAGCTGCTTTTTTTTAACAGCTATCCAAACAACCTTTCTGGCATAGTAGAACCTCATGAGACATAAGTCTCAGCCAGGATAGCTTGAATAGGTCATTGTGGTGTTCAAGCCCGACCACCACGTCAAGGTAGCAGCTTTTGGTCCGGATGTGATTACAATTAAAATTCAAGAGCGTCACATACGTACGCACAAGTACTCTTTGGATTACGTTTGGATTACGACGCTCGCAGGCCGAAGACGAGTGAAAATGGCTTTAAAGCTCTTATAAGAAGTTGAAATGATGGAAATGAGATTGTGACGTGAGATTAATATTTCACCGAGGATCTAATAATCGTACGATATTATAAACTTGATTTAACCATAGTATTTCAGATAAAGTATTTCAAACTTTTACAACTAACATGTGGATATTTCAAAGCCTAAGATTCGCAAATAGTTGAGGCTCACCTCATCATGCGTGTTCTCTGTCATACTTCTCTCTGTAGTAACGCAAACCTACAAAGCCCGCACCTTTTATATGTCTGCAATCTACAATACCTTTTCCATTGAACTGAACCGACCATCTGACCTAACTTTATGCCCCTTAAAGCCAATTCTTCTCTACATTTCCTATACATCATCAATCTCAACCTCTCCTTCATTTTTATTGTATGCCGACTGACTCAACAATCTTAGTGAGGCCAAATGTCACTTTTATCGAATTCGAGTACAAGTGTCCAGTTTGAAGATGAAACCAGTGAAAAGACAAAAAACATATATTTCTTCAAATATTGGAGCAGAACAACAGGGATACATCCTGTTTTAATGGTTCTCTTCAACTCAATGGAATGTATAGTTTTTTACATCAAGCAGTAATACAAATGCTTGGTGTAGTTCAGTCAGTAGAGATCAATGATACCACAATGAATACAAAAAAATAATCATACGATATGAAATCTAATGAATATATAATTTCAGAAAAAACATTTCTCATAACACAGTTTCTTGAAAACAGCAACATATATAACGTAAAACAAGTTGCATAGGTAATTAGGTGACTTTTTAATAGTTGGATACCAAGTTGGTTGAATAAACTCAGTTTCTCGGGAATGATTTTTTATGTATCCTGCTAAAAGCCACGCTTATCATGTGACATGCGATGATACTACGCAATGACCCAAGTTGAAGTAGGTGGAGACGGACTCCAACCGTTGACCAACCCGGTTGGAAACCGAGTGTTAAGGCTAGCGAGCCATATATCCATCGAAATTAAGTTACCAGGGTTGAGCAGTCTCGACTGTTTAACTTCTCTAATCAGACTCTTTAGTCCACGTCAGAAATCTTTGGTGACTGCCATACTGCACTTCCAGCGCAACATCTGAAGAGAGTCGACGAAATAAAATGGATTCATGTAACTGTATTCTTATGTTCATTCTAGCCCTATTCAAGTTTACCAAGGGAAATATATGCATGAAATACTTCTTCGCTAGATACACTTTGTCCACTGTTTTCATGACTAAATGGGTATACTTCATCAATGTTAGGAAAAAAGCAACTTCATAGATTGAGAAAAAAACCAACTGATAAGCAATAATATATCGAAACGGAAATTCAATATTAAGATTTTGTAAATATCAGATTGACAACATAACAACACCAAAAAACTCAATATCAATGCTTAACAGTTTAAGCTGTCACACCTCACTTCACACTGACAGATCAATCAAAGTAGTTAACAGGACAAGGAAGTGTAAATAATGCTACTAAGATTTTTCTGTATGTAGAATTGTTCACTGAATTTGAATTGGATGTAACACGTACATCGAAGTAGTAGCTTCTTCAGGTAGTTGACGGGAAGGACTTCTAGTTTGTTGGTTTCGATTTAGTCATAGATGAAGAACTTCCACGGTGTGGGCAGCCGGGAAGTAACAATCGCCCTCACAATCCGAAATGCACACGAAACCTCTCTATTACTCACTCATCTTTGTCTTCATCTTCATCTCTATCATCTTGCCTTCCTTCCACTGATGCAACTCCTCGACTTGATAGCTCTCCACTTCCTCTCCACTCTGCGTCCACTAAAAACGATGGAAGCCAAAAAACCACCACCGACAGCCTCTTAAAGCCGCGCCACCAATTTCATATAGGAGCTCTTAATGTTAGGACACTTTGCCAAATAGGACAACAAGCATCACTAGCCAAGACCCTGGCATCACGAGCCATTGATGTATGCTGTGTTTCAGAAACACGCATACAAGACCCAAGTGTGGTTATTCACCTAACCCCACCTGGCCAACAGGTTGAATCTGCAAAATTCACCTTGAGGGTGTCAGGAGATGCCACAGCTAGTTCACGAGGATTAGCTGGCGTAGGGATAGCTTTGAGTACTAGGGCAGAAAAGACATTGCTTGACTGGATCCCGGTAGATAGCCGAATGTGTGCTGTCCGCCTGAACGGATCAGTAAGAAGGAGGAAGGACTGCACTACTCGCCGATGCCTTTTCGTAATCTCCGCCTACGCCCCCACTGACTGCAGTTCAGATGAAACGAAGGATGAGTTCTACCAAAAGCTGTCTAGTTTGGTGGAAAGGCTAAACGCTCAGACATAGTCGTTCTAGCTGGTGACTTTAACGCTCAAGTAGGGAAATTGTGTCAATCTGAGAAGGATGTCGGTGGCACCTATGGAGTTCCGTGCCAGCGAACCGACAACGGTGACCGTCTCCTACAGTTCTGCTCTGATAATCATTTGTTTCTTGTAAGCACTAACTTCAAACACAAGGAGAGACACTGTTTGACTTGGAGACCCCCTTCATCAAACCAACGCTGGACACAAATAGACCACATAGCAATAAGCTATCGTTGGCGTGGGTCGGTAGGAGATTGTCGCTCCTTCTGGAACACGTGCGTAGATACCGACCATGCACTGGTCCGCGCTCGGGTGTGCTTACGACTGAACGGACGTAGGAAACAGCTGGCGGTAAAACCATCACGTCCCCAGCTCGATCAGGAAACTAAATCCGTATTTGAGGAAGAACTAGCTAAACACATATCTGTGTTCGACAGCTGTGCTCACCCTGAAGAAGCTTGGAAAAATATCCAGGCAGCCATAGATACAGCTGTAAAAGCTGTGAATAAGGTAAACCCAAAGGTGAGTAAAAACCACTGGATCTCCACCGCCTCATCCGAACTGATAGATGCTAGAAGACTTATTCCGGCGAGCTCCGAATTCAATGAGGAGCGAAAGCTGCACAAGAGGAAACTTACGAAAAGTCTCCGCAAGGACCGTGAACAGTGGTGGGCGACAAAAGCCAAAGAGATGGAGAAAGCTTCGAGGATAGGCAACACCAGGCAACTCTTTGACTCATCAGGGAAACGGGTGGGAGAAGACATCATAGTGAGACAATCTCGGAAAAAAATGGCACTATAATTAGCTCCCAGGATAGACGACTGGATCGTTGGAAAGAGCATTATGAGGAGCAGTTTAATTGGCCCACAGCCACGCTCAACCTTCCGAGCATCCAACACCTCCCTGAATGGGATATAGACACAGGTCCTCCATCCCTAACTGAGGTTACTAAAGCTGTCACCAATCTGAAACTAGGCAAAGCAGCGGGACCTGATGGAATGACTCCAGAGGTATTTAAGTACGGTGGAGACAGCTTACTGTCCGGATTAACTGAGGTACTAGGCAGCGTCTGGGAATCAGAGAAGTCCCATCGGGTTGGTGTAAGTCACTGATTATCCCCATATACAAGAAGGGAGACAAGTCTTCCTGTGATAATCACAGAGATTAGCTTGACTAATATAGTATCTAAAGTCTTAGGCTCAATAATCATGCGTAGACTGAGTGGTGCTCGGGAAGCACAAACACGAGAGAGCCAGGCAGGTTTAGACCAGGAAGAGGGTGTATTGATCATATCTTCACCCTCCGACAGATTCTAGAACATAGGCATTCCTACCGGCGTCCAACAGTCATTATATTTCTTGACCTAAAGGCAGCATTCGACTCTGTCGATCGGAAGTTCTCTGGAGATGCTTGGCTGTAAAGGGAATTCCGAGAAAATATATTGCACTGATTAAGGCACTCTACTCGTACTCATACAGCCAGGTGAGGGCTTACGGCGAGCTGTCATCTGAACTGATGACGACCAGTGGTGTCCGTCAAGGATGCCCATTATCTCCTTTTCTATTCAACTTCATCATAGATGTGTTAATGGACTTAACCCTAGGTGACTTCAGCGACTCAGGGATTGACTTGCTACCGGGAATAATCTCGTTGACTTGGAATATGCAGACGATATAGTCCTTCTAGGCGAAGACGCTGACGAAATGCAGAGTCTTCTAAACACCTTGAGCCGCAATCTACGAATGTTTGGCATGCGATTCGCTCCCGCCAAATGCAAGATGATGTTACAGGACTGGACTACATCGACGCCTAGTTTAAAAATAGGAAGTGAAGTGGTAGAGCACGTTGACCGCTTCACTTATTTGGGAAGTACCATCAGCCCCAACGGGTGATCTCTGACGAAATCTCAGCACGAATACAAGGGGCTCGTTTCGCATTTGTTAGTTTACGCCGACTCTGGCGTAGACGAGATGTTCGACTATCGACCAAAGGGCGGGTGTACTGCTCATCAGTCCGCTCCGTCCTCCTTTATGGTTGTGAGACCTGGCCACTGAGAGTGGAAGACATGAAAAAGCTGTCTTTGATCATAGGTGCCTGCGTTCTATTTCCCGTGTAAAGTGGCATAATAAGGTGAGCAACATGAGGTTAGGCGTAGAGTTCTAGGTAAACAGGGAAATCAATCGACGAAGTCGTGAAGCTACAAAGACTGAGATGGTTAGGACATGTGTTACGTATGCCAAGCCATCGCCTCCCTCGACGAGCAATGTTAGCGGATATAGGGTCAGGCTGGAAAAAAGCTAGCGGCGGTCAAACAAAAACTTGGCATCAGTCAATGAAATCCACAACAGTTGGTCTAAGCCACGTAGGAAGGTGTAGACTTCCAGGCTGGGGTCCTCGGGACGGTAAAAATCTATGGTTGGAAACAATTGGTGACATGGCTCAAAATCGTTCTCAGTGGCGCAGATGCATCCACTCCCGTGACTTATGATCTCCAATGAAACTGTTTTGTATTTCTTTATTACTCCTTTGTCTCACACCTCTGCTCACTGTTTCTATTATGCTTTTCTTGTACTTTCTTCTCTTGCTTCGCGTGCTACACGGAATGTGGCGACTTGAACTTCCGCACATTTGTGCAAAGTTCTATGTCGAAAACAGACAGACACAGATTGTCTCGGTCAGAAGGCCAAACGTACTACCAGACAACACCAAATTCTTCAAACTATTCAACCACTTTTTTTCCTTCACATTCCCCAGTGGAACATGGGGCTTCAAGCTAGTGGCTTGAAGTTTCTGAAGCAGTGTTTATGTTACAGGATGGGGTTGCTAGCCTCATGCCCAACCTTTCGTCTTTACCAGCATTATTTCTGTCTTAGCGAGGTAAAGGAGTGCACCGGCCGGGAATTGAACCCTGGACCATGTGCATGGTCGGCGAGCGTCCTAACCACTATGCCACCGACGCACAAAAGTGCTGGACAGTTGTTTCGTCCTAGATAGAGGTTCTTCACATGGCGCACCCACGGGTGTTCGAACCCAAGATACTTCCGCCACATCCAACCATGGAGTTGAATTATTCCAAGACTATATGGATTGCCTACAGCGCATAAGAAGGATGTCCTACTTTCATGTATTATTGAAATAGTCAGCTCATCATATCATCAGATCGCAAAGTGACTAGCAGATATTCTTGAACTGGTAAGGAGACCTATGACAAAATACAGCCTTAGTGACACATTCGACTTCAACGATTCAGTGAAAAGTATCAGTGTGTTTGAAAGCCAAATGACTTCACTGTATATCATGTCTCTATTCACAAGCATCCTTTTGATCGAGGGGATATGCTTCATCGGCCCCTACATCGAAACCAACAATCTAGAAGTTCATCTTCCCATCAATTTCCTGAAGAAACTGTTACTCAGATATACACGTTCAATATCCAATTCAAATTTAATGAACAATTCTACGTACAGAAAGATGGTGTAGTTATGAGGTCTTCTCTAGGTCTGTTATCAGAATTCTTTTTTTATTCCATTAGGTTCCCCGGTGGAACATAGGGCTTCAAGCTAGAGCTTTGGAGTTTGTTTTACGGGATGGGGTCGCTAGCTAGCGTCATGTCCAACCTTCCCTCTTTACCAGTCTTACTACTGGCTTAGCGAGGTGAAGGAGTGCGTCGGCCAGGGATCGAACCCCGGACTACATGCGTGGTCGGCAAGCATTCTACCGTGGCGCCACCGACGTACACAGTAGGATTTGTAAAACACCATAAAACTTCAAGGAAGTGGTGAGAATTATTTTCACTGGGTAAAAAGTCGATTATACATAATTGTTAACTTTTTATAAAACAAAACATGTTTTCCAGACAGAATATAGTAATTATATAGAGTTACTTACTGATCTCATATTACTACAGTTATGTTATAGAAACCATGGTTCCTGAGGAACTATGCTAATACGCAGAGAATATAATTTAAGCATCCTTGGCACTAAACTTTAAGGAGCATACAAAACACTTCAGTGACAAACGTTTATCATGAGTACAATGCAGTGAAATAATTCAAAATAGATATGGAACTGGAAACTAAAGACATCAAAGGTTGACAGCATATTAAAGATACCATAAACTGATGACAATTCCAGAAAAACTAAAATATACACAGAGAAGACGGAGGTGATGAAAATAACCAACGAACCAATAACAACAACAAGCATCAGTCACTACCAACGGGATAGGTTTGAAAGAGGTCTACCTATCTAGACAGCATCGTCTCAACTGCAGACATTCGGCACGGTTGAGGATGTCAAGACCTGAATCGGAAAGGCAAAGCACACATTCACCACTATGAAATCAGTTTGTAAATCTGCTGCATTCAGCAAAAACAACAAAATTCGGATTTTCGACGCCAGTGTCAAGTCAATCAGTTCTTCCATGCAAGTAACAACCTTGGTGAAGGCACAACAGAAAGTACTTGTAACAGCCTGTTGCAGACTTTTATCAACAGCTACCCACTTCGCTGGCTCCATACTAAAGATCAAATGCCTGACAGAATTAGCAACAAGCATCTCTGGAGACGAACCAATCAAGAACCTATTACTCAACAAATATATAGGAGAAAATCGAGATGGATCGGACACACTGAAGAGACGGTTGAGTGACATCACGCATCAAGCCCTCGAGCAGAACCAAAATCGGAGACAACGAAGGGTGACACTGAGGAAATCATGTCAGATGAAAACTTATGGGAAATCGTGGAGCCAGCTGAAGAGGACTGGAAAGAACAGGACGAAATAAAGATGTTCTGCTGAAGCTCTATGTTCCACTGGGAACCCAAGGGTAAAAAATAGTATTATAATAATAACAGTGTGTACAAAAAACCAACTCATTCTAGTAGATATTTAGACTTTAATTCATCTCATCCGTTAACTGTTAAGGCAGGCTTAGTTAAGTGTTTAACAAACCGAGCAGTGGCACTAAGTAGCACAAAAAAAGACCTAAATGATGAAATAAAACAGATAGAAGAGGTGTTGCTGTTAAATAACTATCCTTTTAAATTCATTAGGAAGATCGAAAAAGGCCAAACGAAAAATAAAAATAATTGTGAAACTAGTAATGATAACATAAATAAGAGAAAATATAAGGCATCTACAATTATACCATATAAAGGGGGGACATCTGAGACCATACGTAGGATTCTCAATAAAGCAGGAATTAGGGTGACATTCAAACCTACAAACTCACTCAGGGACAAGCTCTGTAGGTTATAGGACCCAGTTGACCCAATTAGACAAAATAATATAATTTACAAAATACCTTGCAATGACTGGGAATTAAGTCAACTAAACAGATCAAACTAGCAGGTCAGGGGTAGTCAAATTGTCAGAACATAAGAATTTACCTAAAGTAAGAATGGTTGACCACGAGAAGATAAGTAATTTAGGAAAAAGCTCAGCAATTGCAATGCATGCATTAACACACAACCACACAAGATGGGGTGGGAGAGGGCTAAAATTCTAAGAAGTAACATAGGCAGGTGGAGAGAGAGGTTGATTACTGAATCCTTGTTCATCGAGTCTACACCAAACACATGCAATAGGAATGATTCATCACTCATACCTGAAATATGGTACATACTACTACCAATCAAATCAAGTGAAAAATAATGGAACTATATAAATGAATTTAGGCAGTCGTGTGATTACCTTGATATGAATATGAGCAATAAATTGTGCTCGAAACGTCATCAGTAAACATTACTGTATAACACTGTGAGACTTTATCAAAACAAAATTTACCCATAATAGAATTACACTTTACCACAGTGCACAAGTTTTATTCTTATATCAATAATAATAAAGTAACGGCGAAGTACCAGTAGAAGCTATTGATTTTGAAAAGCCACTGAGTATTTTAACAATCTACAACTGAACACTATCTACCGTGATGCAATCATACCTGGTATCACTTAGTTCATATCATGTCATTACATTTTTCGGGATGAATTCTACACACACACATACACACGAACATCCATAAGACTTGTTATGAATTCAAAGAGAAGCTGAGCTGTTTACACTTACCACTGTAAAAATTGTTTAGAATAATCAAATCTAAAGAGATGATCATCGTCTTCCACGTAATTTTCATATAAAAGATCATACAATTCCTGTAGCTAAAACAATAAAAGAACAGTGTGTATAGTTAGTTACTTGTATTACAGATAGTGAAAGGTCATTACTATACTATATCTCACCAGACAAAATTGAAATATTCCTTCACCATATCACCACCATCCAACAGTATCCATTCTCAGTTTGAGGTGAATTAGGATAAACTTCTACAGTTCGACAGATTTCAGAAACCTACTTCTATTATGAAATAAACTAGGGCAACGCTATCCAACACATATAATCAAGAAGTTTAAATAAATGGCATACATAATGCCTTTGTTAAAAGTATAACTGAATTACTTATATAGGATTAATCTTAATAGCTATTAAATTAATTTCATTAAAAAATAAATCAATTATCCCACAGAACAATTACGGTAGATTGTTAAGTTTCAGTACAGTAGATCATTATTCTTTTATTCGTCTGGTTTAAAGGAAACCCCTCGACGTTAAATTCATAAAAATCGATTCTCTACCAACCAGAATGCTATTTTTTTTAAATTTCATATCGTCTTTTACCTTTCTTAATGAGTATCAATTGCCATATGGATAGTTTTCAAAGGAAATTAACTTATCACGTAGATTATTTTTCGACAAAAGACTTCGGAGAACCAACTGTACACCTATGATTACTCACTCCTATCGATGAATAAATTTTAAAAAAGACGGTTGTTTTACACCAGTATGTCAACGTCTCACCAAGTCACTAAGATACCATGAATCTGTTGTAATTCACATCACAACTACCAGCTTGAAATAACTGATAACTTGATACACTTGAACAAAAATGTAAAATAAGATAGCCAAAACATCAATGGTAAGAAAAGCTTTCAGAATACTGAAGAACAATGAATAAATTTTAAGTAATATGGTCGAATGCTGCCAGCCAATTAATATACTAGAAAACTTTGTATGCATCGAAATCAAAAACATACCTCATTTTCATCATCCAATGATAGTTCACACCAGTAAAATCCTTCAGGTAGTGTGTACGGTTGCGAACGAATATCTTCATGCTTTGTATCCGGTTCAATTGGCCCGTTGTCAGTGATTTCTTCAGCTAAAGAGAAAATTTTCACCGATTAATTAAAACCGTCTTTATTGTTGATTAATCGCTAATATTAAGACTGTCCAAAAGAATACGTGTGTAACATGCAACTCTATACAGATAATAATTATAGTCCCTAAGCTATCCGTAGACTTGATCGGACGGAATATGTCACGTAATGCTACTTTTTCTTTGGGCTTTTGCAATTTACTATACTTCTAGTTAATCAGGATGTGTTTCAGGTCAAAAATTATAAACAACACAGAATCTGTTCTACTGAGAATCAATCACCTTCAGATATGATTATGACTAACAATTTTATCTTGAATTCTTAGTGAAATATGGGGCTTCAGCAGCATATCCCCACTTCATCCTGTTACCTGCACTCCTCTTTAACAAGCTCCTCTTCACAATAGCACCTTTATATTACTCTCGGACAAATGCCCAACTTGTGGTTTCCCACTAGAGTTCCCCTTGAGGATCTGACTGACGCGCGATGACACAACTTTTTCCTCAGAGTACGCCTAATTCATTCCAATTTGCTTCTGCAAATTTGTTGGGTGACAGGTTATTGACAATTTTCTTGTCAGAGTTCCTTGTTATTTTTTTTCTTTCTGACTGTTCATTTGCTTTTCAGTATCTGGCCAGCGAAGGTAGATGTTGATGAAACTCTAGCACAGGCTGCTGAAAATGCTTCTGGTGAGGCATACAGATGCATTGATTTGACATGAGTGCTGAAGATCCAGATCTTGTCCCTTATGCTGAGTCTAGTAGATTTCTACACTGATTTCAGACCAATGAAAGTCTGTCCTGTTTTTCCGGTCCTGTCTTTGACATCCTTATGTTTAACCAGTAACGCGCGAAATATATATTCTTTACTTTTACAGATCTAGTCTACATCCATAACTCTGGATGTCGGAAGGCTGTAAGCCAAGGTATATGCCCAGTTTTTAGAATCCTTCCTTTCTAACGTTCGCATTTTAGCGAAAGACAACAATACTAGTGTCCCAATCACCTGTCACCTTCCAACCTAGCTAATAATGTAACCCATTGAAACCATGTCAGTAACTTTTCTTGATCTTACCACCACCCTCCACCCATCGATCGTTGAGTATAGTAGCAACACAAAGAACGGTTGTCTTATGCAGAATATTTAGTCAAACTATAAAGTTATGCAAGGCTAACCATCGCATCAAAGCAGATCAAAGGTTGACCAATTATTTGAAGGAATCCTAAGCAGTATGGAGATTCTAAAACACTGTTTTACTGGTCTATAAACTGACCGATACAATGAAGATAGTCTTAGATAATTATTTGACTTGATATGAAGATTTTCGGCGAACAAGTTAGTTATTAGCTACGATCATATCATCAACTCATATATTTTAGAGGCGGGAAAAACCAGTTCAGAAGGAACAATGGGGGACCACAGCCAAAAAGAAAAAGCGGGCAATCCAATATAATCCGGTTACGCCCGCAAAAAAAAAACCACAGGAAAAGGAGAATAAGTTTAATAAGGAAAAAGGGAGAAAAGATAAATAAGAGAATGCCTAATTTGCTCCTTTTCCCTTCAGCCGGGCCCACCGGAGTCTGCATCTCTCTACCTAACTCAGTTTAACTGTCAAGGATTTCATGGATTGATGCCATGTTTTTGTTTGGCAGATATTTTAAAATTGTTTACCTGTTGAAATATGAAGTGATTGTTTGACTTTTTCAAATTCATTCTACAGAGAAGGAACAATGATATTTGTTTACACTGCAAATACAACACTTTGTTTTATCATTGAACGTCCGACATATATTGAAAACAGTGGAAGCGAAATTTGCCATAATTTTTATTAAATTAATGCACTTGTTATCGCGGAAATAGATAGCTATCATATCAAGACAGTTTTAGCATAACAAATTTTCAAAATGTTATCTGAACTATCGGACTTAGTAAATTTCTAGTTAAGTAAGAGCTAAGCATAAAGGAAATCGCGGAAATAGTCGTCACTGTTTATAGAAAGTTACTTACTCAGATCAGGTACCGGTTGTGTTCTCCAAAATCGGAAATCGTTTTTAGTCCTTTTTTCTATTGCACCACTAGAAGAACCACTGGTCCCGGAAACCAGCATCACATTAGTGAGTTGTTTCAACAGTTTCTCGTTAATTCCATTGGGTAATTGTCCAGAGTTTAAAGATTTTTCAATACTAGAAGGAAGCGTTTTGTCACCGGAAACGTCAACATCATTTGACTGGTCTGTCTTCTTGCTTTTGTTTTTCAATGGCTAAATACAAATGCAAATACACGGAGATAGCATAAGGGAAAAAATAATTTATAAGGGAAATGGACCCAATTCCACATTAAAAGTAGGCATATAACCAACGTGCTACAACTTCAAAAGAAAAAGTTTTCCTAAAAGCCACACTAGTTATAACTAACTGATTCCTAACCATGACAACAGAGTAATCTTGTTTTGTCTACAAGGGGTTGAAGAATGAACACCTGACCAGAATAAAAGGTTGAAAAACATGTGAACAGACTTCATATGAACTGTGATCAAGATATGATCGAACAGTTCCAAAATAATTGGGCGCCGAGTAAGAAGTAGACATTTATAAAAAAAATTATATTTGTAAAATTTCAGCGAAATTAAAATGAGTAGTTCCAACGTTTCGTACGGCAATCTGATCCGAAACGTTGAAATTACTCATTCCAATCTCGCTGAGATTTTACAAATATAATTTTTACATATGAACAGAATTAGAGCTTAATTTAAAACCAATAATGAAAACGCTACCCCATAAACAATTGGCTACCATAAGAATACGGCTTTAGATATCACTGTTTTTGTCTCGCTGATTTTACTTGTCAGTATAAAGCTGTGCTGCCTTTTAGTATGGCGAATCGCCTACTTTGAGAGACAGCTACCATAAAAAAACCGAAACGATCTGAATTACTCCAAGTTATGACTCGTTAACCTATGTTCAACTACTTTGTATTCCGAATTCCTAACATCTGATGTGAAACATTATAGTTTGCTTCTATCACTTACAAACTGTCCAAAATGTGGAGAAACAGCTAACAAAAACTATTAATTCTGCATCCCTATCCCTTCCGGGGTCCTGATTCTATCACATCAACTTTCACTGTTGTGACTGGCCCCCACAGACCAGATACCCACTCAGTAGTTACTCAGTGTTTGATAACCATGTAGCTGATTTTAAGGCGATAAGTGCATCACGCCATTAGCTTTAATCGTCTTGCCAGTGTGTTAGCGTTATGAAATCATTTATTTGAGACATATTTATCGACCGATTTGGGTAATGAACCAAAATATATGACTTGCAGTCGTAGTAGTCGATTAAAAGCCACCAAGACCTCCATCAAAACAGAATTACGAAAGTCGTCAGTTTGTGGAAATTCAAAACTGAATGTCATTTATCAGTAACATGAACCATCATGTTGGAGCTACTATGATTTATTGATACAAGGAGGAATTAACACACTCAACAACTCCCAATCCTATAATTAGAATTATTGCAAAGCATTCCAGAAGAATCAATTGACATCTGAAAGGAACGAAGAACCTTTCAAAAATGCTGAGAATTTTTGTTGAAAGCGTCTAGAAAACTGCACTTTATCTACGTCACCATCTAAAATGACTATGTATTGCGCTTACTCTTCTTAACAGAGAAGCAATTCCTATGACAAGAGACAAACAAGCCTATCAGTGTGCCTATAATGGAATTACATTGAAGTGGTGACACTCATTAGGGGAACACGTAAAAACTGTGATAAGCGAGACGATTTCCGAAAATAATGGTACTTTAACTACTTCCGACAACGGACGACAGGAACGTTGGAGGGAATATTGTGAAGCAACTCAACTCACCTACGGCCACTCTAAATTTGCCCAAAATCCAAAAAACCTGTGATATATGAACATCAGCTCCTCAAATGTAACTGAGGTTACAAAAGCTGTCCCCAGTCTAAAATAAGGCAAAGCAGAGGGGCCTGACAGCCTGATTCCAGAGATGCTCACTGAGGGTGAAGGACTAGTGAATGGTCTAAGATATTAGGTAATGTGTAAGAATCCAAGATAGTCCCGTTGCACCCGGGTAGATGACTGATTATAAAAAGACAAGTCATCTTGTAATAGCCATAAGGAGATTAGCTTGACTGATGCAGTATTTAGGACTGTGTTCTAAAATCATGTGTAGACTAAGTAGTGATTGGGACAAACAAACACGTCAAAACCAGACAGGCTATAGACCAGGAAGGTGTACTGACCATACCATCATCATCCGACAGATACTGGAACATAGGCATACTTATTGACATCCAACACTTGCCATATTTCTTTGCTTGAAGGAAGAATTCAACTCCGCCGGGCGAAAAGTATTATGCCAATATTTGGTGTCGGTATCGTGAAAGTATATCGTACAGATCAAAGCAATCTAATAGAACTCACACAACAAGGTAAGAGCTTATGGGGAGTTGCCATCTGGAATGATAAAAATTAGTGATGTCTGCCAGGGATGCCAATTGTCCCTATTTCTGTTTAATTTCATCACAGATGTACTAACAGATCTGATTCTAACTTCAATGACTTTGAGATTGAATTGTTACCAGGATTTAGTCTTGTTAACTTAAAATATATGAGTGATTTGTCCTCCTAGATGACGACTGGTAAAATGCAGTCTTCTAAACACCTTGAACAGATCTTCGAATATTTGGCATGGGATTCGCTATCAAATGTAGGGTGATAATACGTGGTCCGACTACACTAGCTCCTAGTCAAAAGACTTAGTGACTAGCCACTGCATTTTTTCTAGGGAGTTGCATAGGCCCTACAGAACTGATTGCTAACAAAATTTCAACACGGATACAAAGGACTCATGTGCCTCCAACGTAGATGTAATATTCGACCATCCATCACAGGATGTGTACTGAGCAGCAGTCCTCTCTAACTTGTATGGCGAGCGAGACTTGTCTGTTGAAGGTGAAAGAAATCAAGAAGGTAGTTGCGTTTGACATTATTTGTCTGAGTTGTACCTTCCGTGTTTAGTACAATATAGTGAGTAATACTGAGACTAAGCGTAGTTTTAAGTAAGAAAAGAAATTAGGTTGTGGAGCTGCGCCAATTTAGGTAACAATCCAAGCCATCGCCTCTCCTGCCGAGTAATATCACCTAACATTGGGTGGGGATGGCGACGTGTTAAGTGACGCCAAATAAAAACAGCACCAACCTATGTCTGATTGTTGGCTTTAATCACACAGGGGGGTGTAGGCTGTCTGGCTGGAGTCATCGAGACACTAGGAACCTATGGCTGGAGAGTGTTGGCATAGAATGGTTAGAACAAGTGACATAATTCACCGGTTCTGATGAGAGTAAATTTCGAGACTATTTTATTGTACATGTCCAAGGGTAATTTAGATTACTCATGCGTAATACAATCGTTGCTTGGTTAGGTACCTAGTGGAATCTACCTCAATAAGTGGTATTTCAAGCAATAAGATAAATACACGAGTTTCGCGGTAGGCTAGAAGTTAGCTATGCTACTCACAGATGAGTGAAGAACTACCCTTAGCTTAGCCGAATGCTCAGTTGGCGTCAATTGAGATTTTTTCTAAATGCATTAAAATAAGACTACAGGAGAAGCAGTCGCTGACATCATATTCTCTTGCATGTGATTACAATTAAAATTCAAGAGCGTCACATGCGTACGCACAAGTGCTCTTTGGATTACGTTTCCTCTGAAAAGTGCGAAATTTTCAGAGGTCGACGCTCGCAGGCCGAAGACGAGTGAAAATGGCTTTAAAGCTCTTATAAGAAGTTGAAATGATGGAAATGAGATTGTGACGTGAGATTAATATTTCACCGAGGATCTAATAATCGTACGATATTATAAACTTGATTTAACCATAGTATTTCAGATAAAGTATTTCAAACTTTTACAACTAACATGTGGATATTTCAAAGCCTAAGATTCGCAAATAGTTGAGGCTCACCTCATCATGCGTGTTCTCTGTCATACTTCTCTCTGTAGTAACGCAAACCTACAAAGCCCGCACCTTTTATATGTCTGCATTGTACAATACCTTCTCCATTGCACTGACTATTAAAATTTGTCCGTAGTTGACTGACTGATCCCTAGGATTTGAAAAATTAGTTTGGTTGTCAGAAAAACTTTGTAAATACCAGATGATCAGTGGACTGGTGACGCGCGTTCTTCGAAAATTGATAGTAGCGTTTTCACGTTGTGCAGTAACTCTTGCTTTCGTTGTGTAAATCGCGTCAAAAAGCTATTTAGTTCAATTTAACTGGTTCAGTCAGTTAAAGTGTTGTTTTTTGAGCACTTTCGCGTCTTTCTGTGTAGTTTTAATACATCTGTATTTATATATACGTATTTTTCTATGTGACTTAAACAAGTTATACTGACATGAGTCTCACAAACAGCTGCAGACGACCAGACTTTCACTATCTAGGGGGTGATGGGATACAGTGTGATAACTGCAGTCTGTGGTTACATAAATTTTGCATTGACTTAGTAATGTGAGGGGGCTGAGAGGAAAAGTAGGTGAACTCCGAAATCTCCAAGCACACCTACAAATGAAAATGATCATTGTCACTGAAACGTGGCTAAACCCCACTATCGCCGACAATGAAATCAGTATAGGTGATACTGTTATGGTCGTGAGAGACAGCGATAATAAGGAAGGAGGGGGAGTTGCTATATACCTTGATAGGCAACTTAAATGTCTGTGCGCAATGGACTCAACACTTATTGAACTCCCAGACTCCATATGGTGTCATTTAATCGTAGGCCACACCAAGCACTTACTGGGTGGCATCTACCGATCTCCAAACTTAGAGGATAAGCACAATCAGCTACTGCTCAGCACTATCTCAGGGATACGAGATTCGGACTACGAGCAAACCAACTGTCAGCCACGTCTCGTAAACCGTTAATGCCCAGCTCTTGCTACGCTCGGGCTCACGCTGTTCCTTGAAGTTTTTCAGAAACGCCTAGTAATAACGGACGCAAAAACCAAAACACCGATTGGCCGCTTGAGAATTCTTTATTGTAACACCAACATATAAACAATGTTACAACTAAGGTCTGTGAACAAATATTACAATAATAAATCACAATATTACTTCTGACGGTTTATTGCTGACTTCTTTCTGAACAGCGACCGATGAGACGATGACTGTCGTATTGATGCCTCCACGAAAATTGGGGAAGTTGGTTTTGAGCAAACAACAATGAATTGATCGTTCAATCTTCAACTCCATTGACACTCCCCGTCAAAAAAGGGATCCATCCCGTCTTTCCATCACGACCAATACACGTTGACTTGGATGCCATTGCAAGAACCTGGGTCACACGGACAGAGCTGAAATGGAAAACAAACAGAAAAGCCAACACACCACAAGCATACCCACAGCACAATCTTACACATCAATGACGACCTGCGCCTTCCAGTTAAAGGCATCCTCTTGACACATCCTCTTGCAACACAATCTCCACTTGCTAGAATGACTCTTGCAGAATGCAACATGACCATAGCACCACCTAATGATACTCCACGCACATCCTCTTATCTATTCACCACCAATTGCCACTGCAATCGCTTGTCACTCATTCTGCCTCAATTCTAGTAACGGTGACGTATGCGGGCCTCAATCGTCTACAATCCCGCTCCCCGGCGTGTGGGACCACACATAACAATTATCTCCGTATGCATTTCATTCTCAGCAATAGCCTCCCCGGCGTATACGACCCATCTGCTGTCTCTAGCATCAATCAATTCATTCACGGATGTAGAAGACTCGAAACAACTTCAGAAGTAATCATGACGAAAATTTTAACAAAATTACGCAATAACAACAAGACACGAAACAACAAGTAAACATAATGAATCCAAAATACACCAATTGATATGACACACCACACATATATACAAACAGTATAAATAACCTCGCCGATCATGTCTTGGTGGAATTCCTTTGAAGAATCGCAGGACTTACACCAGTGCGCCTGCAACCCTTCTCAGGATGACAATTGTAAGCTGTAGAATGTCCGGACACAAACAAGATTAATCAACAATTACAATAATTGGAACTCACACAATTATTTAACAAAAACATATGTACAATCAATACATCACATGTTGTTGATTCTGGCTTGACGAACTACCTTTGAAGAACTGTAGGACTTACAGCAGTACGCCTACAACCCTTCTCACGTTGACGCCCTAGGTTGGAAAATCATCACAGAGTTCATTTGCTGATTTCCTTCTATCAGCTATATCCTCAAATCTGAACGGTAACACGCTCATGTCATTGTATCGTAGAACATAGATGATGAACAAACACACGACGTATCTGGTCAACCAAGCGTAGGCACAGAGTAATTAACACCAAAGATAATAGCATTCAATTAGTAACTTGAAACTAGAAAGGCCTTGGTTCATGCAAGTCAATTTAACAATTACTCTCTCCTTTACACTTGGCTTATCCTCACTAAACTGACCATTGATATTCGTCCTTTCAAACGAACTGCTACTAGCATAGTCATTGCGCAAGATACTTGAGTTGATGGGCGTCTTTTTCATTGTGGATGACAGCACCAACGACGACTGAGTGACACAAGTTGATGAACTTAGCGGTGGATCAGAATCTGTTGTTGCTCGGCTTTCAGAAAATTCTCTAAGTGCAAGACCACCACCACTGCCATCATTTAATGTCAGCTCAGGTTTAGCAATAGCATCTGATGATAGGTGGGCTACATGCTAATCACTTACACTGACGGCCTCACAAGTATCCATAACTTCTGCAACTGCACCTGCATTTATTTCTACTTCACGTTCAAGTTGTACAGAACCCTTGTTCATCATGGAGCCTTCTCGATATCCACCTCTCTGAAGCCTGTTCGCCATCAGTGATTGCGTTTTACCCTCAGACTGCTCTATTCCAGGGGTGAGATTCAATATACTGGCAAACTTGCTCATCAATTCATTGACACTATCTTTTACTAGTTTCAGGATATCATCAAATTTTGGCTCGATACCCTCATCCTCCATACGGGAGCTTATCTTCACCCACTTCCTTTGCAGTCGAGTAGGTAGGCGTCTTGCTATTACTTCTAGTATAAAACTCGAGTTGAGGTCACTCATGCAATTCATAGAAATCAAGGTATTCTTATAAGTCATAAGATTATGTGAAAACTCAGTAAGTGCCTTGGAGTCATCTCGAAGTTGACTGCCGTTACCTTTGACAGCTTCGTATACGTTCCTTACAATCATCGAAGGTCTTCCAAACCTTTGACGTAATATGCTCATAGCCTCAGCGTATCCCTCACTAGGGGGCATGAGCTCACAGCACTGTATAGCTCATGAAGCATCTCCAGTGCAATACCTCATCAAATACATCAATTTCATTTCATCACTTAATAAAAACCACTCAGCATGATCTCAAACTCCTTTACAAATTGTAAATAATCAGCCGGGTTTCCATCGAAACACCGTGGTTCAAATTTAGGGAGTTTGATGTTCCTATTATCCCTGAACGGCGAAACAGTAACATCAACCATGTCATGCTTAACATCAGACACATCGTTACAAGTAACAGACAAGTCACCATGACTTACTTTCCTGTTTGCATCCAAGACGCTCTGTCTCGTCTTTGACCCAGGCGTTGTTGAACTTAGCCCAATTCCAAAACAGTTCCAGATATTGCTTGTTCAAAGAGGACTTGACCGGCACCAGGAAAGATGGACGGTGACTATCCAAACTGTTACCAGCTATCTGAATCGGCCAGAATCTGTTTCTACCGTCAGAAACTGTCAGCCACGTCTCGTAAACCGTTAATGCCCAGCTCTTGCTACGCTCGGGCTCACGCTGTTCCTTGAAGTTTTTCAGAAACGCCTAGTAATAACGGACGCAAAAACCAAAACACCGATTGGCCGCTTGAGAATTCTTTATTGTAACACCAACATATAAACAATGTTACAACTAAGGTCTGTGAACAAATATTACAATAATAAATCACAATATTACTTCTGACGGTTTATTGCTGACTTCTTTCTGAACAGCGACCGATGAGACGATGACTGTCGTATTGATGCCTCCACGAAAATTGGGGAAGTTGGTTTTGAGCAAACAACAATGAATTGATCGTTCAATCTTCAACTGCATTGACACCACCATAGCTGGAGATTTCAATACCCCATCTCTGAACCTTGGCTAGGGGTATGCTAGGGGAAAATTTGGCCGAAACTTACTGCAAACCATTCGAATTACGGGACTGACTGAGAATTTTGGAGACGACACTAGGTGGGGCCCTATTGGAAAATCATCAAAACTAGACTATATTCTAACTAGTGACCAACTACTTGTCGAAAATATCCGGATCATGACTCCTCTAGGAAGTAGCGACCATGCAGTCATGGGTTTCGATCTTGTTCTCCGTCAGCGTTGGCAGTGGGACGTTACGCGACCATGTCTGTGTCACAGCATGGCTGACTATGCTGAAACGCGGAGGCTCTTGTCCGACCAGACCGGCCCTTAGCATTGGACAACCTATCTGTAGATGAACACTGGGAAGTGGCCAAAAAGATTATTCATACAGTAATCTCTGATACCGTCCCTTTGGTCACAACACAGCACAAAAAACGACATCATGGTTGAAGAGAGGCACGCGACGTATTCTGCTAGCAAAACGGGAGGCTTGCTTTACGTGGCGTGTATCTAAGAGTCAGACCGACCACGATGCATACATGAAACTCAGGAACCGGTGCAATGCAAGCGTCAGGAGGGACAGGAGGCCAATACAGGCTAACCTTGCTAAAAAACTCCTAGCAAACCCCAAAAACTTGTACCGATTCATGTCGGAAAGAAAACCAACCAACCAGGGGGCATGCGCCTTAGTTGGTCCAAACGGTCAATATCTGACTAGTCTGAGGATGGCTGAAATATTCAGTTCAGCCTTCGCTAAACAGCTAAACAGCAATGCGGATATTACAGTTACGGACTAAAATGGTGGCACTACCATTTCACAGGAGTAAAACCTAGTGGATACTCCCCAAATAAACCCCGCAATAGTACTTAGGGAGCTACAGTGACTCACACCTGGGAAGTCCCCAGGTTGTGACGACATCAGGCCATCTGTTCTGAAACAGTGCGCCGAAGCTCTCTGTAGACCCCTGTGC